CCTTCCTACCATTGTTAGGGGACTAACGCTGGGCAGCTGCCAATCTTTTCCATTCCCCGGATTCCCATTCTGCACCACACTGACAGGCAGCCAGGGAAAGAGGGGCCTCTCAGGCCACCCAGACCCCTCAGCATGGAAACAGCCCACAGCAGGGCTGGACCCCAGGCCATGCCTCCTGAAATCAGAGCTGCTCCTGCCCTCTCTATTCTATTTATTATTTAGTCCAAACCCTTCCTGGCAGGTTCAGGTTCTGCCCTGTTAACCCCTGGGGATGGGTTAACTTCCTCCACTGAGGCAGTCCCTGAACCACCGATGCTGCATCTTGATCCAACCGCCCACCACCTTAGGCTGGGCAGGGTGGTATACCAGACTGGAAGGAAGGGCGGGAGAGGGTCATTATCCTGCCAGCACCTCTCCCATAACTGCATTTTCCCCCCAGGAGCTGCAGGCATGACCTTTTCTCTTTGGGCTGGGTATTGGAAGTCCTGGCCCTCAGTCTGCCCCTCAGTGGATAGTGAGGTGGCAGGCTGGCCAGCAAGGCTCTTCCACCCGCCATGCTCTTACCTGAGGCCACCCAGCGATTCTGCTGTTGATCTGGAGCTGTTCCTTCTCAGCTAACCCTGGGATTCCTGGCTCTTTTCATGCTGCCAGTTCTCCCAGTACAGCGAGAATTTGGCAGAATTATCAGATAAGTCCATAAGAATATGGTTCATCTTTGGGAGGCAGGGTTCTATATCTATGGAGGCAGAGCCATGTATGTATGTATATAAATAGACATACACACAGTGAAGGCCAGGTGGAAGAGAGGGAGGAGGACCCAGAGCCCTTGACTAAGAGAATTGTGCCAGGTGTGAGTTCCTGTTTACTTGTGGGTCTCCCCCATAGGACCCTGTGCTCCTTGGGGCTGGCACACAGGGACACTGGTTGAATGATAGGCAGTACACACTTTGGAGGTAGAAGGCACATGGTGGGCCTCCTCTACATTCCTAGGAAAGTAGCATGAGGGCAGGGCTTAGCCCCATTTTACCCAGTGCCCAATTCTGGCTAAGACCAGCCCAGGCTTGCTAACTGCCCTCACCCATGCAGCTTCCTCCCTCTCCTTCCTGGTTTGGTCCTGGGCTAGCAGCTCCTTGCTGCTGTGCAAATCTGGGCCAAGCCCTGAGCTTTGGGGGTGTCCCAAACTTCCAGGTCCCACTATGTGCATGTGGAGGTGGGGTGCAGGGAGTCTAAGGTAAGGCCAGCAGATAGGACCCTGGCCAGCCTGAGTTTTGCCCTGCCCTGGGCTCTGCCAGGGGAGGGGAGAGCTTGGGTGGCCTCTAGAAAACCAACGGTCTACTGTCTCTCTAACCCAGTGGCCAGTTTCTGGCCAAGGGCTCCAGTCCTGCCTGACCCTCATCTCCTTTATCCCTTGGTTGTCCCACCCCCATCACAAATGTTCTCTGGCCAATCCATTCAGACCCAGAACTGGGGTCCTTTGGGTAACTTTTGCCTCCCACCCCACCCTCTCCAGAGAGCAGTCTATAGCAGGGAAAATAATTATATCTGGAGACAACTCACTCACCCAGCGGCCAAGGTCTGGGGTCTGCTCGACCTTACAGAGGCAATGAAGTCACCAAGCCGCAGGTAATGAACCATGGTCTCAGCAGATCCCCTTCTTCCCCTGCCCACTCCTCATACCTCTATCTCCGACTGTCACCCCACACTACATCCAGGCACCTGGTTCTCTTTCCCTCTCTTCCTGGCATTACAGGTCCATTACATCTCAGCAGCACATGGCCCCTTGCCTCTTGGCTGGCTCCTTACCCGACATTCTCCTGTAAGACCTGGAAGCTGCTTCTAAGGCAAGGATGCTTAAACCAATTCCTGACTCCATAACCTACAAAGCATGGCCTTCAGGGCCCCATCACCTCCCTTATGTGCCCTCTCTTTCTCCTTTACTTGCTGCTTCTCCAACCTGAATGCACTCGTTGTCCAGCCTTTGCCCATGATATTCCCCCTGGCGAATGGCACAAGGGTCACTTCTGAAAATCCCTTTTCCCCACTCCACTGAGACTCTGCAGCCTGTCCCAGCCAGCCTCTCTGTGATGCTGCTTGTCACAGAGCTGTTTCCTACACTTGCCCCCTTGAGAGCTGGGACTTGGACTGACTGGCTGTGTGCGGGGCCAGAGGAGGTGCCCACAGGGAGAGCAGATTTCCCAACTGGGAGGGATAAAGAAAAGGAGAGACCTGGGAATCAGCCTGGGACAGGGGAAGGCTTCTGTGCTCTACAGATCCCTAGGGGAGACTGCACCAGCCAGCGGTGACCAGCAGCCACAGGGACTTGAGGGCCTCAAGGGAGCCTTTGTCATCAGCCTGGAGCATGGAGTATGGCCCCTCAGAAACCCTTTGGCTGAGTAGAGAGGCCCAGATGCTACATTCATCAAATCAAGGCCAATATCCGAGTCTGCCGACTAGAAGAACATCAGAAGCCTTAGGACCCATTGGAAATTAGGAAAATGCCTGGAGAGGCTTGGAACTGCTGCTGCGTCACAGCAGGAGTACAGGGACTCACTATGTCTCCCGCAGCCTAGTGCCAGCCCCTCCCCATGGAGACCCCCAGGCCTGAGCCAGCGGCCCGTCTCCTCTGCCAGAGGTGCTGCCTCAGACTCCACATCTTCCAAGCTGAGCTCTGGGCATAGGGCCAGCCCACTTCAGATCTCCTTGACCTCTGTTCCTCGTGTGGCCTGGGCAGGCTACAGGGCATCACCCTCAGTTTCCTACTTTAGTTTCCCATGGAGACGGGCCTGCTTCCTACAGGGAGTGAATTCCTTCCCTCCCACCTCTACCGTGGCTCAGCTGTATGCCAGATTATGGCGTAGGCCGTGGTCGGCAAGCTGCGGCTCGGGAGCCACATGCAGCTCTCGAGCCGCGGTTTGCCGCTCTGTTGACTAATGAGTTTGCTGACCACTGGGATAGGGGCTTAATCACAAGGAACAACAACAACCTGTCATTATTGAAATCGATAGTCTAGGTCAGTGGTTGGCAAACTCATTAGTCAACAGAGCGGCGAACCGTGGCTCGAGAGCTGCATGTGGCTGTCAAGCTGCGGTTTGCCAACCACGGGCCTAGACCCTGGGGACTTCAAAGCTGCTGCTCTTGGATCCCATTCCTACAGCACTGTCAGCACCTCAGGTGCTGACCCCTGCCTGCCACAGACCATGGCTCTGGACTCTGGGTCTGAGACCCCTAGACGCTCTCTCTGGGCCATTTTGCAGCCTGGCTCCCTTGGACAGCTGTGGCCCTTGGGCTCCACTGCATCCCTGTCCTCTGCCTCCTGAGGTCCCACCAACCCTCATTTGCAGTACTTTAAGCTATGGAATCTCAGCCCCCCATCTTCCTATCTGAGCTAATTTGCTCTCCCCTCCGTATGGCCACACAGATGCCCAGCACCCCTCCTGCACTGGCTGTGTGGACTAGGGCAAGTTTCTTCCCTTCTTTGAGGCTTGCTGTGCCCAGTTAGGCAGGACTAACCACATCTTTTCCCCGGGCTGATTATTGCTTGACAAAGGCTTGGCATCAGCTTTCCCACGCTTCAAGGGCACTGGTGGAGTAGTTGGAGCTCTCTCTGACAAGGCAGGAGGATGCAGCCACATCTGTGGAGGCTAGGGCCACCCCTGTGCCAACCACAAGGGAGCTGGTGATCTGAGCAAGGGTGAGAACTAGACAGGCTCTCTGCGTTGTAGCCACGGGATCGTGAAGGTGTCCAGGAGACATCAGCGATGTGGTCTGTGCGTGTCTGGGAAGGAGGGTGGCAGATTTAGGAGACTGAAGCTCAGGAAATGAGTGGAAGGTGGAAGGGTGGGTAGACTGGGTAGTGCCCTAGCCTTCAGGCCCAGACCTGTGCTGGGCCAACACAATCCTTTGGTCTATGTGTTTATTTCCCTGTTGGCTTCCCTCCAGGTTTGGTGAAGCCTCTGAGGGCTGAGACCTGCTTTGGCTTTATGCCTGCCTCCGTATTATGGTATCCCAACAGGGAGCTTGCACTAGAGATGGAACATTAGGAAGCTGGGCAGTGTCAGGGGTCTCATGTGCATGGACACATGTGTGCCCAGGCTCTTCCCTGTGGGATGCTGCTCTGCCCGCTCAAGCATCCAGTGAGAGTAAGTCTTAGAAAAGACTGCAGGGATATCTTGCCTCAGGCTCTGGTTCCTCGTCTGTGGAGATGGTGTGGGGTCTCTCAAGCTCTTGAGGACTTGAGACGGGGCTCCAAAGCCCCAGCCTGCTTTTTCCGTCTCCCAGGTCCCTCAGAACCCTCCTTGGGCCAGGTAAGAGGGTAGTGGGCTGGGCAAGGGCAGACAGAGGAGAAGGCCAAGGTAGGTGTGACTGTTCCTGCCTGGCCCAGTCAAGGTAGGCCCTCCTGGAGCTACTAACTAACCTTTCTGGCAGGGTCTTTTGCCTCTCTCCCATCAAAACCCAGGCCTCAATCTCTAGAGGACTCCCTCAGGCCTGAGAATCCAGGCCCCATCCCTGCATGGGCCTGGGGGATGGGAATGGGTCCTCTGAATCATCCCACCTCCCCTCAGAAAGTCACCTGAGCCACCACATCTCCCACACCATCTACATGGTCCTATCCCTCTCCAGGAGAATAATAAAGTCATGATAAAGTCAGTATCGACTCTGAGCTCCCAGGAAGTTCCCCTCCCCAGGGGAACTGCTGCCCCCATCTACCTAACCCCAGCTAGGTGTCCCTGAGTACCCAAGCCTAGGCCAGGAGCCTCCCAGCCCTGGCTCCCACACCTGGCTTTTAGAGATTTAATTGCTGGTTACAATCATAACCTCTCTTTTAATGGACACAGGGCTGGAGAGCAGGGCTGTGCCCTGTGACGAACACCATTGTACCCACGGGGCCCAGCATGGGGCTTGGTACACTGCAGGCCCTTGGCACTTATGAGGAATGTGTGAGCCAGCAAACAGCACCAACTCCTAGGCCTACACACACACCGGGGTCTGAGGCAGTGGCAGGCAGTTGCTTTGAACTTTATTTGAGAAAAACAGAACATAAACGTATCAAAAGAGCATACAGACTAACAGGTGGGGATGGTGAGTGATTGCTAATGCAGGGTTTGAAGGGAGTGCAGGCAAAGGTCTTTATTTGGCTCCAGATTGCTCGGACTTCCCAGCTTCTGGGCCCCCAAGCTGGGCACGAGCCTCATAGGTGACAGGGATGGTGATCTCCGATGACTGGTTGGCTGGCTTGGGCATCGGGGCCTCCACGGTGAGTGTGCCCTCCGGGGACAGGGAAGAAGACACTAGGGTGGGGTCCACACCAGGGGGAAGCCTGGACGTGCAGAAAAGGAGGCCAAGAGTCACACACGGGCGAGTTACCGTATCCTCCCGCCCCCCCCCCCCCCACCCGGTGCCCAAACTCACGTGTATTTTCGAGTGAAGCACCGGGAAATGTAGCCATGTTCATCCTGTCTCTCTTCGTGCTTGCCTGGGGGAAGGGAAGGGAAGGAGGTCAGAGGGTGAGGGAGGGACCGCCTCTCAGCTAGCCTACAGCCAAACACGCCCCACCTAGTGGCCGCCCGGACTCAGGGCCGAGCCTAACTGGTGGAGAGTTTTGGGGACCCCCAGACTGTCCCAGGCCCCCATAGACTTCTGCAAAGTTCCATTAGCCGGCGCACACGCCCCCTCCACGGACCAGGAAAGAGGCAGGGACAGCTCCGGAGGACCTGGACATTTGGGGGTCGGGGGGGGGGGGGCATCTCTTCCTTTAAGAGAGTGTTGGGTTTTTTTAGGGCCAAAAGTTCCTTTAGGAGCTATCCTCACCCCCCATTCCGGAGAAGAGGGCACAGGCGGCTAACAGGAAGCTATTTTTTCACTCTCCAGGCTCCGCGCCCCGCAGCTTAATCCCCGCAGGGCCGGGGTTGGGGGTGGGGTTCTCACCACTGATCTCCACCACGCCTTCCTTGGTCTTGATCGTCAGCTCCTCGGGGGCGAAGTGGTTGACGTCCAGGGACACGCGCCAGCGGTCGGGCGTGTGCTGGATCTCGGAGATGCCGCTGCTGAGCTGTCGGCTGAGCGCGCGGCTGTAGGCGGGCGCGGCCACCGCCGGGACGCCCTCGACCGCGGCCGCGGGGAGCGGGCGCACGTAGCCCGGCCAGCCGCTGTGGCTGAAACACTGCGACCACTCCTCGGGCAGCCGCGGCATGCCGAAGGCCTGCTCGAAGAGGCGGTGGTGGACCGGGTACCAGTCACGGAAAGGGTCCCAGCTAGGGCTCCGCAGGAGCGAGAAGGGCACGCGGCGCTCGGTCATGCTGGCTCGGTTCTGGGTTCTTGGGTTCTTTCTGCGCGAATCGCTGAAGACCGGAGAACTGTCCCGGGCTGGAGCCAGCAGCGCTTTTAAAGGGCTTCAGCCGGGTATTTTTAGCAGGAGGTGCTTCAGGTCTCTATTAATGGCCATGACTAGTGCGGGCAGCCCCTCCCGCTGCATACCAGGGCAGGGGCGGGGCGAGGAAGGTTCTGCCCACATCTGGAACCTTCTCAAGTTCAAAAAAAACAAGTGACTGGACTGCTGATACTGATGCAGTGCCCACTGCCGGACACTCACAGGCCTGGGCGCTAAAGCACCGGGCCACTGCCTGTGGACCAAGATGAGAGAAGTTGAGCTACTTGTCCCAGGCCACACAACTAGGAAGCGGCAGAGCCAAAATCTGAACCACAGTTATCTGGGATATAATGTTTTAAGAAGCAGAGTGGTGTGGTTTTTAAGAGTGTGGGCAATGGAACCAGACTGCCTGAGTTCAAATCCTGGTTCTGCCATTAATAGAAGACTTGTGCAAGTGAGACTCCTCGGGCCTCAGTTTCCCCATCTGGAAAATGGAGATGATCAGGGTGATGATGATGCTTACATCATTGGATTGATGTGAGGATTCAATGACTTCATGCGAACAAGACTTTTAGCCCAGGGCCTGGTACAAGATACTTGCTAATTACTGTTATTATCTACCTGGAATTGAAGAGAGGGAGGAGGGAGGAGAGTGTGTACCTATCCCTGTTGCAGAGGCAGAGGCATGTACGGGTCTGACCATTTTCCTCCCTGTCCCCAGGAGTGGGGCTGGCCCAGGTGAGAAACCCAGGTCCAGTGCTGGGGGGGGGGGGGGGTTTGGAGAAAGGTTATCGTCAATCTCCACATTATATCTAAGTGGTGAGCAACCCTCAGAGGAGTTACACACAATGCCAGGTTCTTTCCACAATGCCACATTCATTCTTTCCACAATGCTACATTGGAGACCTCCCCAATAAGCCAACAGACTCACACGCAGGTTACACAAAGAGAGGGGGTGGGGTTACAGGAGCAAAGTGTCCATCACTGGGGGAGTCTGCAGGTGGAGAGGCAGGCCTCGTCTCCAGCCAGAGGGCTACCGTGGTGGCAGGCATCTGGTGGAGTGGAAGTCTGGCAGGGATCCAAGCATGACCCTGGTAGAGCCAAGCTTGAGGTAGGAGGAGCTCTGAATTCTCATAGGTCACCAGGGGTGGAGGTCTCACTCATATCGGTGTCCAAATGGAATCCTTTTCTAACTGTCCTGACTTGTGGTGTTGGGCCTTCTGGGCCCCTCCTAAGGGCGTTCCCATTACCTCAGTCTTGACATACCTCAGTCTTAGCTGACAGTGACTCCATATTGGATTGTCAAAGGTGCTCAGAAATTCCGCTCTGCTCTTGCTCTATACAATTTATTTTTCCCTGAGGACAGGGAACCTGAAATGCAGCAACCTTGAGTCTAGTCTGGGCTCTGCCATTGACTTACTGTGTGATTTTAAAGAAGGCCCTTCTCTCTCTAAGCCTCAATTTTTCATTTTGCAAATTATAATCAAAAAGCCCCTTTTGTTTTTGACTCCCACAGTACAAAGGGTGAAGGGACTCCAGATGATACAGTTTGCTAAATCTTGTCAAAACCTGAGGCCTGTACCTTGTCTCCACCTCCTACCTGACCACCTGTGGGATCCAGGCCCCAATATCTCACCTCTGGGAGAGTGGTGCCCCTGTGCTCCTACTAAACATTCCCTCTTTTCTGCCTTCACAGGCATTTCCTGGCCCAGCCTTCCCTCTCAAAACTATGTCCTATTATTTTTTAAATGAGGAGACTGAGGTTGAGTGACTGTCCCACTATCTCCTGTAAGACACTTAGCAGAGTAAGCCTCTTGCTGCTGCCACTCAGAGCTCTTACCCTCAAGGGCTCTCACCTTGGAGTTTCCCTACCCCCTCTCTTTCTGAGGCCCACTCTGCTAACAAGCTCCACAGGAGGCCTTGTTCTGCCCGGGACACTGAGGGCTGGAAGCCAGACTCCAGGCTACTTACCTTGATGAATAAGGAGTAACAAATCTCATGCCCCCTCTAAGTCTGTTTCCTCTTCAAGAGAGAGAGCTTCTGGATGCCTTTCCTTCTTATCCCTCTGCTCTCCATCAGGGAAGGGCTGGGACAGGACCACACAAATCTGAGGTCACCTCTGGAAAGACTCTGAGCACCTGGGCTTCGATTGAGCCAAGGTGGGAGGCAGACAGTACCCCTGCCCTCTGTCCCATCTCCCTTGCTGGATCCTGTCATGAGCTCAGTGAATCTAGCCACCGCCCCCCACCCTCCAAGGGTCTCAGCTTCAAGAAGCCCCAGGCTTTCCCTCCTTGGCACTCCCAGCCCCATAAAGTTAGGGTGAGGTCAGGAGTCAGGGAGGGCCCTCATCTGCCCGTGCCTGCCCACCTTGGCCCAGACTGGAGCCCAGGTGCCCCGCCCTTGAGGGAGCTGTCAGGTGTAGTCATGGGTGCTTTCAAGTGTGGTCCTGCCAGGCCCAGACACACTCTGGGTGGGGACACTTTATAGACACAAGCTCCCTTCATACCTCCCTTTATCTTGTCTGAAGCTAGGCAGGGAGGATCCATCCCTGCCGCCCCGGCTAGGGGAAGTTGTGCAACCTGAAGTGCAACAGGAGCACTCTGCCCACAGCAGGTGGGAGGCAGAATGAGCCAGTTCTTGAGGGACTTGGGTCACCCTGACAGTCACAAGGGAGAGGACATGGATAGTTCTGGGTCATGGTAAGAGGGGGTGGGGTATGGGAAAATCTGGGTTTGGGGGTCAAACAAGGCTGGGCTTGAGTCTGGGTGCTGCTGTTCACTGGCCTGGTGACCTCTCGGAGCCCACATGTCTCCATCTGTAAAATGTGGCTAACAATGCACCCATCTTGCAGGATTGTGGTGAATCTCAAATGCAAAGAACGCATGTGAAACGCCTGGTGCTCCTGTATTAATCATTATTAAGGAAAGAGGGCCTTTAATTTTGGGTATTGAGACTTAGACGAATGAGAATTACCCAGTTGCATGAGCATTATAGCATGTCCAAGTATCTTATCAGAGTCTCATTATTGAGATGAGGAAACTGAGGGCCAGAATTGCCCAAGTTCACAAAGCTGGAAGGGGGTACGAGAGATTGGAACTCAGGCCTCCTGATCCTCTTTCCTGCCGGGGAGAGACTGCCAGGCAGTCCCGGGGGTGCTGTGGGCTCCCGGGAGCAGGGTGCTGTATTCAGCAAGGGTTGCCTATCATAACAGGGAGCTTTGGGCCAGACCCTCTGGGGTGCCTCCATCCCTGACCAAGATGCTCTTCCTCCAGAAGGCTGCACCCTGAACCCAGGCACCGGACTTGGCAAGAGGAACAAGGGCTGAATGTCAGCTTCCACTTGCCCACCTGCCCAAATGGTCTTTGACAATCATCTGCTCTAGCATTCCAGTCACTGAACTGCCAGGGGTAGTTTTTCTGGGATTAAGAGGACAGTTAAGTCCACCCCCTAGGGATTTCCCAGAAGCCAATGGGAGGGGAAAGTGAAGGAAGATGGGCACTGTAGGGTCTGGGGTTACTTAATTGGAGGGGGCCCTCCTCACATCCATGGCCCCAAAATCTGGGATATTCTGCAGCAGCCCCAAGACCTGCCTCCCAGCTTGGCACGGTGCCTGAGGGCTTAGGCACAATAGCCACACCCTTGGCTGGTATTTGCCAACTGTAGCTGAGCCAGCTTCTCTTTCCCTGACATAACCTCAGAGAAAGTTCGAGAGTTTTCCAGCAGCTGAGAGAGCTCCCTGGAGAGGCCGGACAGCTGACACATCTCGCTTGCTGCTGAGCCTGCTCCTGCTGGGAATTGAAAATGTGAGCAGCAGTAATTAGAGCACACAGGGTTGGGGAGCACCAGGTCTTTCTGGAAGTGTCTAGACCACATGTGTCAAACACAAGGCCCGTGGGCCAAATCCGTCCCGCCAGGCCTTGCAATGTGGCCCGCACTGCGCTGTCATCACTGCACTCCGCTGCGTTTCCATCACAATGACAGTTTGTGACTGTTCAGTAAACCATTCGGCCCGCGATTTAGGCTGGATTTTAGATTTTGGCCCCTTCTCTGATTGAGTTCGACACCCCTAGTCTAGACACTGACCCTCCAGCCTGCCCATCTACTAGGCCTCAGCTTCTGGCTGGCCTTGGGATCACTTCACCCCCATCACCACTGAAGAGGTGACAAGGAGGGGCCAGGTGGAAGGGACCCATCCTCTGGCCCCAAATGCCCTGCTGTCCAGCAAAAATAATCTGTCTAGTTTGGGAGTCTGGGGACCTGACTCTGGGACCTTAGCCAGCGGCCGGCTCCAATGACTCATTTTCTTCATCTGTGCAATGAGACCATTGGACTGGATGTTCTCTAAGACTCCTTCCAGCACCATGAATCAACAGTTTCTCCTCGACTCCCCCCTCCCCCCAGGTTCCTTACGCTGCCTGCTCTGCCCTCTAAGGCTTCGGGAGGGGTGTGTATGAGTGAGTGTAGGGAGCAGGTGAGGGAGGATGTGGAGATGTGGCATCCGTGGAGGTGAGAGTCCCTACAGCTGAAGCACCCCCATGTCTTAGGTGTCCCGAGAGACTTTTTCAGGCAGAGGGGGACCTGGAGAAGGAAGGGAAAGCGCCTGGTGATAGGACCAGTTTGTTGAATATGCTTTCAGCTGAGAGAGACTGGTAAGAGGCCAAGGGGCTTCCAAGATCATTTAAGAGACAGGGAATGGGGTAAGGGGGATGGGGGGGGGGGAACGTGGGGGGAGGGGAGAGGGGTGGTGGTTGTCAGCTGGGACTCCCAAACTTGTGACTTGCTACCCTGAGTCTGGGGCTGCAGGAAGCCAATAGGAAAACAGGACATAGGAAAGCCCTGTCCAGCTGCCAGGTTGTTGAGTGTGTTAGGAAGGGAAAATGTGTGTGTGTTTTGGGGGAGGGGGCTGATGGGGGGCTGAGTGTGTTGGGAGGGTAAAATGGGGGTGGGGTGGGAGGTGGGTTCAGGTGTCCCTCAGGCTCCCATCTGTGGAGAGAGAGACCAGGAGAGAACCTACGCATCCCAAAGGCTCACATCCTGGGAAGGTTCCCCCACCCCCATCCCATTTCCCCTTCCTTGTTACCAATGGAGAATAGGAGTTTCCTGTTTTCCTGCCTGCCTGCCTTCCTGGCAGTATTTTTCTCTTTTCACAAGATACAGAGCAGAGGCTGACTCCTCCGTCAGTGGGAGGGACAAGGTTTGGTACCCTGGTGCCCTTTGCATCTTTTCCCAGGGAACGGACTTTCTCAAATAGCCAGTGAGGGCGTGAAGGACGTGAGCTTCAGGCTTCCGAGCTGACGAGGACCCTCCCCCAGGCTGCTCTCTCGTTTTGTGCCTCTCCCGGCGGATCCTAACCGGCAGCCTTTCCTCTCTGCCGCCCTCTAGTGTCTTCTGAGGCCACCACACCTTGCCTTTGGGCTGCTGCCTGCCCCCAGGGTTTCTGGAACTGCTCACTGCATAGCCCCTTTGTTCACTCATTCCACAAACATTTCAAGGGCAACTATTTCACAAGGCTGTGGAGGGGAGCAGAGGCCAATAAAGCGAGGGCTGGGCTCCAGAAGCTCACAGATTTATGGGGAGAGTAACTTGCCAACAAACAACTGGAACAAGACTATAAGGCCCTAAAGTCAGGAACAAACCCAGCACCGGAGGAACTCAGAGAGGCAGGAGTGGCCACCACAGCTGCCGACCAGAGTCTCTTCAGAGTAGGAGGCAGCTGAACTGAGCTGAAGGGGCATTCTTGGGGGGCACAGGGCAGAGGGTCAGCTTAACTGGGGTGTACTGCAGTAAATAAAGGGCAGTGGTGGGAGAGGAGGTTGGAGGGCTTGCAGGAGAAAAGGATTGCTGTTCCAGGCGGAGCCATTCAGAAGCCTTCCAAGTCCTACGAGCTGGTGGCCTCGGTCACAGGATGCAGGGTCCACAGGGCAGAAAGCTCTGTTTCATTAATTCAATACTATGTCCTCAGAGCCAGGGACTGTGTGGCACACAGCAGGTTTTCAATAAGTATGTGTGGGATGAATGAATGAAAGATTAGATTTGCATTTTAGATGAGTGGGAGAGGGCAAGAGATGGATATGGGAGGGGTGCTAGTGAGAAGCGTAGGATTGTTGGGCCAGGAATGGAGGTGGGGCAGAAAGGGAAGAAGTGGTACCATCTGGGGAAAGTGGTACCATCTGCAGGGAACCAATAGGAACAGGACCTAGAAAAACCCTGTCCAGCTGCAGAAAAACAATAGGAAAATGATAGGTCCTCCCTTCCCCCAACTGATGGACGGAGTATGACGTAATCTGTACCTGCAGTCCAAACATTCCTGAGCACCTCACCAGGCACCTTATATGGACTGTACATTGAACCACCAATCAGCACCTGCCAAATACCCTAAGCCCCTGATTCCTAAGTCCCTAATCATGTGCCTTATCTGAAACCACCAATCAGCGTGTGCTGAGTGCCCTAAGAACCATCGCTTCCCTTTCCTCCCCTCAAAAGACGTGTTCTTTCTCCCTTTAGAAGGTAGCCCAGCAGGAGTCTTCTCCTCTAATAAAGCCTGTGTCCTGGTTCTCCCCCTACCCCCTTCTATGTCATGTTTCAAACAGGACCTAGCTGTGGGTGCAGGGAGGAGGCTTCACGCTGAGCAATGAAGAAATGGAATCATGGAGTGGGAGCAGGAATGGGCTCAGTGTGAGACAGGCTAAACTTTCATGACCACCTTTGTGTTTTATGCTCCCCTGCCCAGGAGCTGACATCTCCCTGGAGCCCCTAGACTATAGTGTGCCTGAGGGTTAAAGAGACAGGTGCTTCTTTGAACAGCTTTCTCAGATCAGAAACAGCCACCTCCTCAGGTGCCCCTTCTAGCAGGAAGGAAAAGGACTTGGAGGAGGTCATGTGCTGACACAGCCATAAGCTTCAAGGAGCATGACCCCCTGCTCTGGGGACCAGACTAGACCAAGGACATCCATCTCATGGCGCACACAGGTCGGAGCTGTGGACGTGTCGTATGCTTCCTCAGCAGCGGTGGACCAGGGGGCCTCAAGGCTTGCAGTGTTTGCGTGGTCCCAAACTGCATGCTGAATTGTGGGCATGCGCACACCTGCTGAGAAAAGGCTTCCCGACCTTCATCATGTTCCCCAAGAAGAGATTCAAAACCAGGTCAAAACCCACCACTCTAAGAGAAAAGAAGAAGGGGAAGAGAAGGAAAAGGAGGAGGGTGTGTGTGTGCGTCTGTATTTGTTTAGATTTCAATAAAAGAAATAGAATGTAACTGTTAAAAGAAAAAAAACAACCCATTACTCTAAACTCCTTTTCCAGGCCCCATCCTAGGGTGCCTGGATTCACAGCCACATGTTACTCCAAACTGTGTTCTAGCCATTCTGGAACATTCCACATATAGGGAAGGTCCTGTGTGTTGGCCCAGCCTCCTCCTCTGTCCCACCCCCACTCACTGCTGAAGCTAGATGGGGGTTCAGGGCATGGGAGTGATCATCTTGGGTCCCCATTTTCTCCTCACTAAGCTGCCAGCTCCGTAGACTCAGGCACCTGCACAGGGGGATGGATGTGCTGGGCGCTGGTTCCTTGGTGCCAGTTCTTCTCTCTGGGTCTCTCATTTCTCAGTGGGAAGGACTCCAGTACCCCATGCCCTCCCCTCACTCTCCAGGTACCCAAATCCACAGAGGCCTGGTCTCACCACCTGCCCTTTGGGCACTGAGTATTTTATTAGTCCCAAGTTTCATCCGCACCGTGGGGAAAAAAAAAAAAAAAAAAAAAAGGAAGTGGGAAATAGAGAGAGGGGAACCCGGACCAGACCCCAGACCCCTCCCCCCAACAGAGCCCAGGGCATCTGCCCTATTGGGCCAAGGAAGACTTCATTAGATCCCTGAGGGCCCCAGGAGGAGGGGGCTGGGAGCAGCAGAAGAGGGCTGGGGGCCACTGCTTCCTGTCATTGCCCCAGGCCAAGGCCCTCAGTAGAGATCCTACCCTTTCTTCCAAGGGCTATAGCACCCTTCTCTGGGAAGCCTTGGCTGGCCACCTCCTCAGCAAACCCTGAGGAGGAATGCTCCCGTGGGCAGGCCCCGAAGCGCTATCCTGTGCCTGTGACTCAGACAAGGGGCACATGAGAATACCAGGGCCTGCTCAGTCATTAGGCTGCATTGCTTCTCCCTTCTCACAGGCTCTTCTTCCATCCACTCCTTCTCTCGTCCACCTCCTGACCTGAGCCCCTTGTCATCTCAGGGTCAGATTCCGTTGTGGTCTGTATGTCCCACCTCTTGTCATGCACAAGGCCTGGCTTGTGTAGCCTTGGACCAGGGAATGAAGTGAGGCCTGAAGGGGAGAGACTGGCCTGGAGAGAAAAGGTGGGACCGAGAGTGAGCTCCCTGGCTCTTCCTGGCACTCCTGGGCCTGGATGGTGGCATACCAAGGCCATTCTTCTTTCTGTCTAACTTATATCCTGCTTGCTGTCCCACCTCCTTGCCTGCCTAGTGATGGAGAGGATCCAAGGGCCCTGCGGAGTGGGTAGGGGAGGCTCCCAGGATTGGCACCTTCAGAGATGTCCCTGGGTCCACTGAGCTGAGATCCCCAAGTCTGGTGAGCTGGCATCAAGCAGGAAGGGGGGCAGGGTGATCCCTGTGTTCGAAAAGGCTCTTTGTTCCCTGGACATGGTGGGAGGGCAGAAGGTGGGGGTAGGGACCCTCTAGAAGCAGCAGAACCCAGCTCCTCCTTGTTTGCAGGGCACCTACCCTCAAGGTCTTCCCTGGCCCTGGGACCTCTCTGTAGCAAGAGGGTGTATGCCCCCCATGGATCCTGGGGCCTGAGCCCTCGCCTCTCTCTGTGCCAGGGGACACCCATCGGGGTTTGTAAGGGCTCAGAAGCCGCCACTTTCTGAGCTGCTCCGGCTGTGGTAACTGGGACTGGGGGTCCGGGAGGGGCTGCGCGTGTGGCTTCGGGTCCCTCCACTTCGGCTGCTGTAGCTTCCGTGGCTGTGGCCAGGGCTGGGGCTCCGGCTGGGGCTCCGGCTTGAGTAGTCACTGCTCAGGCAGCTGGAGGAGGAGGAGGAGGGGCTGGGCCGGTAGTAGGGGATGGGCCGCTTTCGGGCACTGCCAGGAGGAAAAAAGCGATTACAGACCATCCAGGGCCCTCACTTGGGCCTGGAGCCCCTCCCAGCAGTGGCCAGGGTTCTGCTGCCTCAGGTGCCCCCTCTCCCACTCCAACAGGATTGGACAGTCAGGGGTCACTTGCCAATTTCATGTTGATCATTTTGTTTTTCCTCACTTGTCAGCAGGGGAAGGGAACCCGAATCTCAGCTAGACCTGAGTAGGTGCTCAATAAATATTAAATATTAAATATTAAATATTAAATATGGACAATTCACATCAACCGAGCTAAGCAGTGGCTTCTGTGCATGGAAAGGTTTGTGGATACGGCCCAGCTCTGCTCCTCTGATCCCCACAGAATGGAGGACTTGGGGTTTTCAGGTCATGTGAAGGGAACAGGAAGAGACCCCTGGCCACTGCTGCCCATGCCCACAGCCTGGCCCAGGCCCACTGGCCCCCTCTCCTCACTCAGCTACCTCCCACCAGCCCTGGAGTTAGTTTGAAGCCAGGAGACCGTGACCCAGAGAAAAGAAAAGAGAGTTGTTAAGGGGGCGGCAAAGCCCCATCGCACTGGGTTAATTCTAAGGAAGAAAACAGGTGTAGTTAGTGGGAGGAGGAGGCAGCCTGGGAGAGGGGCTGAGGGGTGCCAGGTGGGAGGTGTGGGAGGGAGTCTGTCATCTTAGGACCTCCCTCTTACGTCTGGAGGTGTCCCAAACCTTGTGGTCTGGCCTTTAGCTCTGGGGTGAAGGGAGGAGGCAATGTGATCAACAAGGCCTAGGAAAGGCCTGTTTGAGAATCTGACCATGTGAGAGCTGAACGGATGCTTACTATTGCTTGGACATGAGAACAGGGACCCAGAGAGGCCCAGCAACCTCCCAAGGCTTCCCAGTAAGGCTGGGGCAGAGCTGGGCTCAGAATTTTGCCCGTGGCCTTCTACCCCCTATTAGGGATTGAGGACTTCTGGGTGATTTCTGCAAACAGACATAGGCTCACCTGGAGACCCAGGCCCAGACCCTCCAGTCCTGGCAGAGAAACTCTGATCATGGCACAGCCCCCCTGGACTGTGTGGGGAAAGTAAGAAGGAGGGTTCCTCCCACAGCTGCCCCAGAAACCAGGCTGCTGGTGCCCCCTCCTCCAAATTCCCCAGGGGGCTGGAAGGTAAGCAGTGAGGTTAGTGAGAAAAGGAGAGGCAGACAGACAGCTGAACAGAGCCAGACCAGCTCACATGGGCATCTCCCCTGCAGCCTGTGGAGAGGGGGTCCCCTTGGCCCCCAGGCTGGCCACAGGCCACGCAGCAGGCTGGACCTTGAGATGAAGGAGAAAAGGAGACATCATTGCCAGGAGATGAATGGAGGGAGGGAGGGTGGGGCTCCCCGCATGTAGAGCAATGATGGGCTCTTGGCAATGGCGGGCTCCTCCCATCATTGCCAGGAGATGAATGTAGGGAGGTTTGGCTGGAATCTTCAGAACTTAATTTCAGGTTTGTCTCTTTCCACCAAGACCCAAGTGCAAATCCCCCTTCCCTCCATGGGCCTTCAGGCCCCAATGGGGGACCCTTCCCTTCTTGAGGCCTTCCTCCCCTCAGTGACCTTTCACTTGTCTGAGTCCACCCCCTCCCCAGCACCACCAGGTCTAGCCTCTCTGCTCTCAGAGCCCTCTTCCCTCTACTGAACCCCCACCCCCTCTCCTTCAGCCTTCTCCCCTCCCTGCCCTAGGCTCAGTCGGTCCCTCCAGGAGGGCTTCATCCCTTAGGTCCCTGGCTGGTCCCCCGGCCCCTTCCTACCTGGTGATGCGCCGCGGCTCCATGAAGCTGGGCGAATCCCGGCGCCGCTTGCGGATGGGCGAATAGCTGCGGGAGCGGCGCCGCGCGCGGGCGGTGTCGGCCTCGCCGTGCCTCGCGCGGCCCTCGCCGTCCTTGTCCCTGGGAGGCCGGGCCGAGGTGAGCGCCGCCGCCGCGCGAGGGCGCCCGGGCCTCCCTCTCCCCGGCTGCCATCCTTCCCTCCTCCACCCCGCCCCGCCCGCACTCACCGGCCCAGAGGTTTCTTGGGCGACGGCGAGCGGGTGGGGCTGCGGACCCTCCTCTCCGCCGAGCGCGACCGGGATTTGGAGGGCGAGCGGCTGGAGCTCCACGAGCGCGGGTGGGGGCCCGGGCTGCGCGACGAGCTCTTCCCCTCGGGGCCGCCGTGCCGGCCGTGCACGCCCGGGGACGGGGAGACGCTGGCCGGGCGGGCGCGCGGGGGCCTCTCCTTGGCCCTGCAGGAGGGGAACGGCCACCGGGAGCTCAGCCAGGGAGAAGGGGGCTCAGCGGAGGACGGGGCTCAGTTGGGCAGGGAACTCACGTTTAGGGGGTTATTGAGGGCAGGATGAGTTCGTGGAGGGTTGAGGTCTCCAGAGAAGGGGAGGGGCACAGAGAGGAAAGAGCGATTCGTGCAGGGGGATCCAAATGGAGGGAGGAGAGAGATCAGGGGGTGGGATGGGAAGGGCTTGGTGGGAGGACCGGAGAGCTCCTGGGGTGGAAGGAGAGAGATCAGAAGGGGGAGCCCAGCGTGTGCGGAGGGGGCGTGGTCGGTGAGGGTGGAGCACCCGCTGGAGGTGGGTGTCCCGTGGGGGTCGGGGACAGGGCGGGGAGGGGAGCCTCCTCCACTCCCGGGGACTCACCGTTTACCGTGCCCGCCGGAGCCAGGCTCCGGCCCGGGGCCGGGGGCCCCGCCTCCGCCCGAGTCGCTGCTGGAGCGGGCCCTGCTGAGCGAGCGCGACGGGCCCCGGGGCGGCGCGGGCCGGGCGCGCCGTCGGCCTCTGCGGCGGGGCGCGCCCGCGGGGGACCTGGAGCGCCGCCTTCGTCGCCGCCTTCGCCGCCGCCGCCGCCGCCGGGCCTGCCCGCCGGCCGCGCGGTCTCCTCGGCCCTGCGACGATGGCGCCGAGCGCGGGCTCGTGCTCTCCTTCCCCCGCGCGGGCGACGGGGCTGCGCCGGCCTCCGCCTGGTCGCCGACCCTGGGCGAGGGCGAGCTGGGCTTCTGACGGGGAGAGAGGCAGAGAGGGAACGGGGGTGGGGGGTGGGAGGGAGGAGACGGAGAGAGTGACAGAGACAGGAGAGATGGGACCGAGGGACAGAGCAGGACAGAACAGACAGGAGATGGAGAACCCAGAAGAGAGGGGCAGAGGCAGAGGAGACAGGGTGAGTGAGGGCAGACAGGGACAAGTGAGAGAAGCAGAGACAAAACGGAGAAAAAGAGGAGAGAGAGGAGAGGATAGATGAAGAGAAGGAAGGAGAGATCGAGGTAAGAGAGCGGGTGGGTGGGGTGGGGGGAGAGAGGGAGAAAGGGCTTTCACCTGGCTCCGGCCTGGGGCTGCCAGTCCCGGAGCATCGCACACACGGTTCCCCGCGCCTGCCCTGCCTCTGCCTCTCCTGAGTGTCCACCTTCTGGCCTCAACAGTGCAGCTCATGCAAGGTTCTCAGCATGCAAAACACAAGAGGAACGGAGCGGTGGGGGTCGGGAGCTGACAGGTAGAGGGCTCCAGGACGGGCACGGGGGAGGGGAGGGGCTGGCATTGCTCCCCTCCAGGGACGGACGATCCCGGCAGAGAGAAGAGAGAGGGTGGGCACCGGGAGGCCCCACTAGGGCCAACCCAGCAGCCCAGGCCCCCCAGCGTGGGGGTGAGTGAGGGGATGGAGGGGGCACACGGCACACAGATGGGGATGGGGGCGGGGCAGGACAACTGAACTCAAAACTAAACCGAAGAAAGGGAAGAAAAAAAAAGAAATAAAAAAACGAAATCCACAAATGTCATTAGATACCAAAATCAAAAACAATGTCTGAACTCCTGGGGAACTGACATTTTTCTGTTAACAGTTTTCTTTCTTTGTTTTCCGGCCCTGCAGAGACCTGTGGAGCTGTCAGTAGCGCCCTACTGTCTTTCTGTTTCTCTCTTTTCTTTTCTTTTTTTTTTTAAGTTCTGATTTTTTTTTTTTAGTCCCTCTTGGTTAACGTCCACTTACCAATAAAGTGGCACTTCCTCCTTTAGTAGGTAAGATGTGTAAGAGAAGGGAAAAGTGTGGTAGCGTAAGTTCATCATTAGATTCACAAAAATGCAAGAGAGATAGAGATAGAGAGAGAGAGAAAATCTCAACCACCCCATTCTAGGCCTAGAGGCCACACTGCCTCTGGAGGAAGGACTGGCAGCGCCTGGCTCCTTGGGCCTGAGCAGGCACCTCTTGGGTAACCATGACCTTTGGATAGAGATGACCTATGTTTTTCCAAAAACGAGTTAGGACACTAGGCTCTGGATACAGGAAACCAGAAAGGACACCTGGTACCTCCAAAAGGGCCCTGACTGGAAAGCAGGGTCCAAGAACCTGCTACTACCTCACTTAGGAACCCTGGCCAAGTAACTTCTGCCTACTGGGCCTCGGTTTCCCCATCCACAAAATGAGAGTGTTGGGCTCTGCTTCCTGGTGTTCCTTCCAGAGCAAATAGTCCAAGATTCTTTGCATGCCCCTGACCACCCTCTCCATCCCCCTCCCTCCAGAGACCTGACCCTCTTCCTGTCCTTGGGCTTCTATCTGGTAACAGTTGATTACACTTGTTTGTTTATAAGTCTGTCCGTCACTCTTACCCCACCCCCAATAACAGCCCCAACTTGACTTTGACTACCCCCAGGGTAGATTTGGTGTCAATTCAGCTCTGTAACCTGAGTTTTTATCACAGAATTCGGCTGCCTCAGTGCTGTTTGCTGAGGAAGAAATGTCCTTTACAAGGGCCAGGGCCAAACCAGGAAGTTGTAGGTGAGGGGCAGGGTCTAGGCCAAGTTCTTTTGACAGGCTCTTGGATGAGATAACCTTGCTGCCAAGGGCTGGAAGGAGTGTGTTTGGTATGACCACTGTGCTTCCTGCAGGGGCAAGATGGTGCCAAGGCCGTTGTGTACCACCCTGGATCCAGCCTGGAAATTAAGATAGAGCCAAGAAGTCAGCCCCAATTGGTGGAGAGGCACAGCCAGCTTGTGAAGTAGCCAATGAACACCAACCATAGAAGGCGAAAGCAGCTGATCAGAGCCAGGGGGCCATGAAAACCTCCTGGAAGAGCCTGGCATCTCTCTTTGGGGCAGAGGCAGGCACAGGTGGGCAGAGTAGATATTACCAGGTACCAAGGTACCCTTTGAGCACCTTTACTCCAGCTAGGCCAGGAGACATGGAAGCTGGGTTGTTCAGCCATGGCCCCTCTGAGATAGCATTTCCATTCTCAATGGATATTACCAGAGACCCTTGGCTCCCCAACACATATGCCCTCCACCCCTGCTGGTATAGCTCCCAAGCCCCTAGCACTAGGTTCTGTCATCCAACATCCTTTTCCTTCCAGAGAAGGTAAATGAAAAAGAAGTCTCCAGGTCCCCCAAATTTCCAGTATCTTTTCTATCCCCTGGGTTGTCTAAGAGTGTAGCACAGTTCTGGGTGGGGGAATGGATGCCCTGGCAGCCAATGCATAGTATTCACACCTAAGGAGACATTGGACCCCACCTTTCTGAAGCCTTTGCTTGCCACTTTGGCGGTGGTAGTGGGAGTAGCAAGGCAAGTAGGCAGAATACTAAACTTGGGAATTAGGACCTGGATGTGAATTCTGTTCCAACCCAGACTCTGGATCTAAGCCACTATTTCTGACTCCAGGGGAGAGGCCAGCAGGGAGGGAAAAAGACCAAGGGCTACCACGTTCTTTCTCATGGGCACTGCAAGGCCCTCTATACTTCCCACTGTTGGTCTGGGAGTATTAGGAATAACAAGGGTCTGGGTTGGGTGGATGCCCACCCCCGTAATGTTGCTGTTCCCCTGGGCAAGACTCCTTGTGCTGAGCTGGACTCTTCCTGTCTGGCTGGTCTTGAAGTCCAATCTCTTTTCCATTTCCCTCTTACCTCCTCCAAGCCAATTGGCTGCCATAACCCAAGATGCTGGTAATTGTCAAAGTGAACACTGGAATCAACTCTGATGTAAATTTCCTGGGAGGCCTTAGAGAAGTGACTTAACTCTGAGGCCTCAGTTTCCCCACTGGTAAAATGGTCATAACTGAATCTTTCTGAACAGGGTGGACCTGTTCAGGGGCTGAGAGGTTCTTTACGGAGTACAAATGACTCACTGTCTCTGCAGAGACAAATAGAATCAGAGCAGTGCAGGAAGGCCTCAGCCCCGTAACATTGTCCCCTAAGTGCCAGGATGATGGAGGATGGGAGGAAGATGTTTCTAGGTAGGTGGCATAGTGCCTTCCCTCAGGGGAAGGGATCAACCTCACCCTTACCCACCTATCCCTCCAGAAGTCCATCCTCATCCTCAGCTTGGCTGGGACTCATTTATCAGGAATTGAGGAAGATACAGGCCCAGACATCTTGGATCTCATTGCCAGACAGGACTGTGGTGGCCAGGGACCACCAAACATCTCTCAAAACCTGTTCTGTCACTCTTGCCTCTTCCCTCACCTCTCTCCCACAGCCTTGCTAATGTTTCTTTCTTCAATACAGTCAGCCCAAGGCCACCACCTCCAGGAAGCCTCTCCTGAGCCTTACCCTGAGTCAGGCACGCTCCTCTCTGATCCCACAGACCCCTGTTCCTTCCTTCAGTTTGGATTGTGCCAGCATGTGTTAGGGCTGGGGCTACTCTGATGAGCAGAGCTGCCCATCCATGGTTCAGCTTGCCCCCTATCATTGTTCTGAGTCTTTTTGTCTGCCCTCCAGCCTGGCAGGTGGAGGCTGTGAACCCACATCTGCCTGCCTCAACCCTGATATGGATACTCAGACAGGGCCTGGCATGGAGGAGTGCTGGGCAAATGCTGTGTGTGCGTGTGTGTGTGTGTGTGTGTGTGTGTGTGTGTGTGTGAATGGATGAGTGAGTGAGGCTAGACCTCACCTAACTCTGAGCCCTGCTCTCAGGAGCCCCTCTGCTCCTTGGTACCACCTCTCCTAGACATCTTTTTTTTTTCTTCTTAATTGTTTTATGATATTGAGTCATCACTGACTTCCTATCCATCATCTTTTCTTTTTGCTCACATAAGAAACTTTTGAGGTGGAAAGACAAGGGGAAGAGAGCAGCTAGAAATAGTGTGGTTGCCTGACCCTGATATTCCTAAAGATAAGAATAAGTGAGCATCTAGGGCAGTTAGCCCCTCCAGGTCAGCATTTGAGGTTTCTGTTTCTGGGTGCCTGATTGCATCAGCTACTCCTTGAGGGTGGGGCCTCCTCTTCTCCATTGGACCAGCAGCACTCTCTCTCTCCGTGAACAGTTTCCTTGCCTGCCCTCCTAGCACCACCAGGATTGAAGAATGTTCTAAAGGGGTGAGCTACTGGGGACTTGCCCTTGGGGTCAACATGGGAAGAGATGAGGCCCTCCCTTGTCAAAGATGAGGTCCAGTGAGGCCTCCTAGGGCTGGGATGTCACACTTCTGTAGCTGCTTCTAGGTGGGAAGAAAACAGTTTAAAGGGCAGAGATGAGATCCTGGAGGCCCTACCTCTGTGGCTGGATGAGCACTGGGCTGGAAGACACAAATCCCAGGACCTAGCCTAGTTCTGCTCTAATCTTGGGGGTCCGTGGTCTTTGCTGATGATCCCTTCTGGATCATTCTGCACATTAAGCTCAAATTTGGAAGATGGAAGGATGCTGGGGGAGGGAGGGAGTCCCTTTCTAGATTGAGTAGTGGTCCAGAGAACAGAGGGTTAGCTGAGAGTTTCTTTCACCCCCCACAGAGACTTTTCTAAGTGGAACTTTAAGTCCAGTGCCTACTCCTGCAGTTTACTCCCCAGCCAAAGTCCAATCACCATAACACCCCAAAGATGGAGCTGTGTGATTTAGTCCTGGTGTCAGCTGCTGCCCTAAAGTCCTGCAGCTTCCACCCTAAAGCTCTGCTGTCAGCCAGAGCAGCACCTGCAGGAGCCCAGCAGGCCCCAGAGGATGGGACAGGGCTCTCTTCCCAGGCTTGACCTCAGCCAGAACTTCCTCCAGCATCCGGAGGGCAAAGGCCCAGCACAGGCCCCTCCAACAAAGATTTATTGCTCAAGTCACCCCAGGGGCTGGCAGGGGTGAGAGGTGAGAGGCTTAGCAGTTACTCCAGACAACAGAAATCAAATTGGCTCAACCACACCATAGAGTTCAGGATGGGAACACAAACTTGGAATGCTAAACCACACAGAAATGCATTCAGACAACAAAATGAGAGAGAGCATGAAGGAGGGTTGGGAGGTGGGGTGGAGAGGAAGAAGGAGGAGCAGGGAAGGTGGGAAGGAGGAAGAATGAACCAGAAAAGTTGTTGGGGTGGGGTGGGGAGAGGTCAAGAAAACCAAACGACAAACCAGGAAACACAGCTTTGTAGCTCATTTGGAGAAAATGCAAGTTACAAATGAGTAGTCACTAAAATAAGGAAAGAAAAGGAAAGGGAAGAAAACCAACCAGAGTGAGACTGAGAGAAAGAGGAAGAAAACCACATTCAAACCAAGCAGAGTGGCAGGGCTTATCTGGAGATGGGAGCGAGCGAGCGCACAGCTGAGCTGGGATACCTACCTTCTCAGTGGTCAGGGACGGGAATGCAATAATAAAAAAGAAAAGAAGGTCTCCGCATTGGGAATGCAGAATGGGGAAAGACAGTGACTTTGAGCTGCGCTCCCCCTCTGAGGTGGCATATGGCAGCTAAGTGTGGCTTTTGGTCTAGTCCCAGGGATGGCAGGGGACTTCTGCCCAGCCATTTCTGTTTGCTTTCCCCCTCCCACCACAGGTTCCAAATAGCCAAGCTTTTCTTAACTCTTTAAACAACAAAAACCTCCAGAGGGCATGCAGGAAGCAGCTGATGGAAGCAGAACCACAGGGTGGGTGAAGGAGGGGCTTGCAGCCTGGGGAGATAGACCCATTTCAGGGGAGAGATGGAGAGAAAGAGACAGAGGAGCTCAAGGAAAGAGAGAGAGAGAGAGAGAGAGAGAGAGAGAGAGAGAGAGAGAGAGAGAGAGAGAGAGAGAGAGAGGGCAAAGGCAGAGGAAGAAGGAATAGAGACAGAGAGAAAGGTGGACCCAGCCAGAAAGAAGAAAGAGAAGCTGTTTAGACAAGGCCAATCAGAGTGGACAGATGGGGTGAGGTGGGAACTGTGCATTTAAAAGGGAAGGCAACCACGGATTCAATTTGGAGGATTGATCCTGCCTCAAGTCAACCTTGTTCCCTTTCCCCCTGGCTTCAGCACCATTTAGCAAAATCCATCCCTCCTGCTTTCCGGCTTCAGCCTAAGAAATGCCAAGGTGACCCTTCCTATGCTAACTGCCTCACTCCAGCCATGGTCACTGCTCCTCCTGGGGGTGTAGAGGACAGAGGCCTGGATGAGACAGGTCAGGCAGTGCCATGGGCACCTCTTCTTGGGGTCACTCTAGGCTGCCCATTTTGAGATGAAATTTGAACCAGAGGCGGAAACCAGAGAGCCTGGGAGCCTTGCTCAGGAAGCATCTCTGGCTCTAATGGCAAATGGTGAGGCTTCCAATGCTAGGGACAGATGGAGCCAAGGAAGGGGGCCCTACTCCTAAGGCTGCAATCCCCGCACACCCTATCTGGCCAGCATGCTGGGCTTTGGGCTCAGTATCTTACTTTTCTACCCCACATTGCGTGACCTTGAGTGGCTTCCTTTCCCTCACTTTGCTTCATTATTTCTTTTCCCAGCTGGTGTGAACTGTGAGGGCTTAGGGTTTCCCTGAGTTGTTAAAGCTGCAGTCATATAGAGTTGTGCAATACCAGGCTCACTTCTACCCTGGTCTTCATGTGGATAGGCCTCAGTGCCAGGGAGTTCAGAGAGCCAACAACTTCTAGAGGGTTCCCCAGGGGAAAGGAAAGAGCTGAGGCCCCCAGAATCCACTTCCCAAGTCCTCCTCCTTCTCCTCCTACTCAGGCTCCTAACATGTGCTTCCCATTAACTGGGTACTTCCCATTGACCACCATCTCCACACCTTGGCTGTGGCTGTGGTCTTGAGGTTAGAGGGTCTTCTTTTTAGATCTGCCTCTAAAACGCTGTGTGTCTTTAGCTGGTCATTTGATCTCTGTGAGCTGCAGACAGCAGTAGGCAGCAGAACCCAGAAATCCCTTTGGGGGTTCAGCCCTGGCCTGGAATGGGACATCAAAGGGATGTTGGGAGCCAGCATCCTATGGCCTCAGTCTCAAAACGAGAATGGCTTTTTCTTCTCTTGGCTGGGAGAGTCTGGCTTTGAAGCCCTCACCTGAACTAAACTCTCAGGTGTCTTCAGCACCCTCTTCCAGGCTCTCCCTGCCCTGCCTAGCCATCATCTTATCCTAGACAGATCAGAGAGGACACAGGAGGCTCACTGCTCTGGGAAGGACCCTGGGTGCCTGGGATAAGTCTCTCCCTCCTTAGGTCTCCCAGCTTCTCTCCAAAGTTCCTTATGGACAGGGACCCAGAGTATGGTCTGCACCACTTTTGCTAACTTGAATGCTAAGGCGGGTCCACCCGTGCCCTTTGCCTGGGGTTGAGGGAAGGGATGGCTGCTGCTGCAGATTTGGCAGAAGCTGTTGGCATGGGAAACGATTTTGTAAGTGTTATCTTCCCTTTTAAATTCTGATTAGAAAGGAAAAGTAATTTATAGAGATATGTATATGATTAATGTTCACTGAGATTCAAAAACCATTTCTGCATTAGGAGGAGGGGCTCCCACAGTAACACACAAAAGCAAAATTCTAGAACAACAGAGAAGATAGAAAAAAACCCAGAGAGATAGTTTGCATTTCTGTACATTATAAACAAACAAACAAAACAAAACAAAACAAAACAAAAAAAAGAAAGAAAAAGAAAAGAAAACAGAAACAAAAATAAAATGAAATAACAGGAAGAGTTACATAAACTTCCCACCCCCTTCCCTTGCCACTAAACAAGAAATGGAATCACAATATTACCACGTTTCAAATGGGAGGCTAAAAACAAAAACAAAAACAGAAACATAGACGGGGTTAAGAATGGTGAGCTTTTCTTTTTCCATTTGTCTCTCTCTCTCTCTCTTTTTTTTAAAGGTGAGAGTCCAAGAATACCACCCCCAGTGCTTTTCCCAAAAAAACATTTTTGGTTAATGGCAAAGTCTATGACCTCCATCTCACCTCCCTGGAGGCAAGAACCAGCTACATTTCACTTTGAGGAGAGGCTCGATGGGCAAGGAGGGGATCTGAGCGCAGGTGCGAGGCAGGGGATGGTCAGCAGTCTTTGAATTCCCAGAGCCCAGGGGGTAGAGAGAGAATTAGGGGGCCATGTTTTGTGAAAGGAGTAACAAAGGGTTATCTCCTAGGAAACTCCCAGGGCCATGTCAAAATGGGGTCCCCCTTTGGGAAGGAGAAGATTGGGGTGCTGCTTAGACTTCTTCCCCAGGCCAGCGGCTAGGCCACCTTCCCTGACTGCTTGCTCCTAGGTCTACCTAGTTGCTGCGACCATTTTGTCTGCACATGTCCAGGACTCTTGTGGGGCACTGCTTAGCCATCCAAGGCTGGAGAGGGGAACCAAAATGGGAAGGGGCCTCCTTTCACCCTGACTTGGAAACACATGCTTTTCTGTACCTCCATGAGAAGGTGTTTGGGGCACTGTGTTGTTCAGGCTTTGTGCCCATGGGGTAGGAGGTTGGGCATCATGTCTCAGACCTGTCCCTCTCCTGTTTGCCCTTAGCTACCTCTGCGTGCTCTCTCCCACACTCAGGACAGATCCAGAGACATTGGTGTGATCCTCCCCACATGGCCTGACTAGGCCCCTCAGAGCTCAGGAGCCTGGCACCCTGTCCAGGAGGGGCAGTTTCCACCTGGGTAATGTCCCTAAACAAAAATTAACCTTGAGACCAAAAGCCTTTTGTCAGGGGCCCTTTGACTTTCCTTGCTGAGGTCCTGGACTAGGGTATTTGAGAAAAGAAAGGGAGTGAAACGAAAACGGCCAAAAATCAAAACGAAACTTGACATGTACAGGTTTGCTGCTGAGACCTGAGGTCTGGGGAGGAGCAGCGCCTCCTCCCTGCTGGGGTTTCTGGGCTGCCTGCGTGTGTGGTGGTGGTGAGGGACCTGCAGACTGCCCAGCCTAAGTCCCCTGTGCCCACCCACTGCTCCTGTCATTGCTGTAGTCCCTTCTCCCTGAGGGGGCCTCTACACCACACTCTAAGATTAGCAGACAAAAGGGGGCCTAGAAGAACCCCTACCATCCAGCTGCCAGCTCCTACAATCACCACACCTGCCTGTGCCCCTCCTGGAGGATGGGTGAGGACAGTTTTTGGGGTGGCGTTGGGTGGTCTCCCAGGGAGCAATGGGTACACGGGGCGATGCCTTTGGAAAGATGGAAAGTGGAACCCTCAGGTTTGAGATACCTGTGGCTGGGGAAAGGACCTTAGAAATGCAGCTCTGTGGTGGCTAGGGCACTGGGGGAAGGGGGCGTCTAGTGAAGGGACTGAGTGAGGGGCAGAGAGCACTCAGAGACGGGGAATGGGCTTGGTGAGGAGGTGGAGGCTTAGGGCCCAAGTGATGCCCAGGGGAGTCCTGTCTCAATAGCCACGCCCCCTCCCTCCTCCATATGCCTGGGAGAGGGAGGCAAGAGATCTTGTTTCCTCTTCAGCTCCTTACTTAAATGGCTGAGTGTCGCGGTGGTAACCCTCCCTGGCCTTCAGTTTGCCAAGCTCAAAGGTGACCCAAGCCTGCAGCACCCCCACCCACCCACAGGGCACTAGAGCCAGGTGGGCATAACAACCAAGCGCTCCCGGCCGCTCCCGTCCAAGGGAGGGCGCAGGGGAGGGGGAAGCGGCGGGCCTGAGGAAGGCGTGCAGCGCCCCCGCCCCGTTACACACTCACTGCTTCCCCCGCCGCAGCGACGCCCCCGCCCCAGCCAGGCGCAGCCCGCGCGTCGCAGGAACCCTCCGCAAAGCCAAGCATACGTACATCGGGCGGGCTGTGCGCCAAGCCCGGGCGGCCCCCCTGCGCTCCGCTCCGCTGCCGGCTGCCTCCGTTCTGCTGGGGCGACCCCCATCCGCTGCCGCCTGACAGGGAAGGCGATCGGCTCCCGCTGGACCTCTGGCTGCCCGTCTTCCGACCTTCGCCTCGGGGCTTGGGGCTCAGCCTGGGGCAGGAGACATATGGAGAGCCGGCGTGGGACGCCCCTCTACCCGAGGCCGCTTCCCGCAGGGAGGGCTGCTCCCTACCCGCCTTCGCACTTGGCCCGGAATATTTCTATTTAGAGAGCCAAGCCCCAGTCCGCACGCTGCCTTGATTTCTATTCAAGGTCTGGGATGCCTAGCCCAGTTCCAAGTTGGCACTGACGCTGCCCTGGTAAACTACCCACTGATTAATTGCTGTGTAGCTCCCCAGCCTCGAGTGTATTTAATACGCAGAAAGACAGCTTAGCTTCAGCAGAAAGTCGGGCAAAGCCACGCCCTGAGCTCTCCGGGGGGGGGGGGGGGGCAGGACCTACCTGCTGGGCGATCTGGAATCGCTGTCCTGGGAGGAGAGTGAGGGGCTGTGGGAACTTCCGCTGCTGTGGCGGTGGGACCTCCGGCCTGGGGACTCATGGGGCCTGGGAGAGAAATCGGCCTGTACCTAAGTTCTGCTTCCTGATGGAAGCCAGGGCTGACCAAGTCTCCTATATCCCGTCCCCAAGTCTCCTACAAAAATTACACAAAGGCTGTCCATACAGAGCCCAGCCAGTCCCTGTGGGTCATTGGTGGGAATTAGGAGAAGCTGCCTTTTTCTCCAGACAGCCCCAGCCCCCCAAGACCTTACCCATCCCCCAGCTGTTGTTCTTGTGACCCTGGAGAGGTGCAGGGGGGTTATAAGGACTGAATTTGAAAAGACCCTCCACCCGAAAGCAAGAGGCCTGGGTTCCAGTTCCAGGTCTGCCACTGACTGGACTCTCCAGGCTCTTGGCTTACTCTCTGGGTCTGAATGTTCCCGCCTGGGCAGGGGGTACAAAATGAACTCCCTTCCAGAGCCTGATTCTGTGATTCAGGGGGCCAGGTTTGCTGTGTGGGAGGAGGGGCTGAGGAGCTGGAGAATGGGGAAGAGTGCTCACCTCTTCCTCTCTTTGTTCTTCTCTTTTCTTTTGCTCCTGGGGCTTCGAGATCTACAGAAAGCAGAGGCTAAGTGACAGCACAGCCTGAGCCAGGCAGGGGAGGGTGAGCCTCCAGGGAGCCCCGCTGTCTTAACCTGAGATTTGTTCCCTCCTCTGACCTGAGCTTTCCTGGCAGGCATGGAATTGCCCATCCCAGTCCATGCTTTGGTTTCTTCAATTCTGCCAAGTCTGTTCCTTCTTTCTCCAGCAAAGCCCATGATCACCTTCAGCCCTAACTGCTGCTCCCTCTGCGAGTGCTAAATGGTCACGTGACCACCGACCCAGAAGGAAGGCAGCTCTGCCCTTATCTTCTCCATCAGTCTTGGGATGGGCCCCTCTGGTGAGTTATCAGGGAGGGCAGTGGCCCTCCACACTTCATTTGTGCTCCCTGTGCCCTCAGTCTCCTCAGCTGGGGCCCTCCCAGACAGAGCCCAAGCCTCCTGCTTTTCTGTCCTCTAGACTGCGGCCTAGCCCAGGGTCAGTCAGCAGGGGTTTAGAAAATAAATGCTTTCCCTTGGGTGTGATTTTCCTGCCATTGGGCATGATCTCCCTGCTTTTGGACCCCTATGCCATCCCGTCCAGCTCTCTTCCTGCCTTTGACAAAAGGATTGAGAGCCTTCTGATTAGCCCTCTCAGGTCTCACCTCATGCCCGGTCCCATGGGTCTCTCAGCCCCACCCTCCCTGATGCCACCAAATTCTAACTCAATCCTCTAGTCCTGAACGGATGCTTTCTTCTGACCCCAAATGAGGTGATGCTAAGAAATACTGGAAGGTATTTCTCACTGGATCAAAAGGAATGGGAGGCAGAACGGGGGGGGGGGGGGGGAGGGGGGGAGGGAGGAAGGGGGGATGAGGGTAGGGGTGGAGAGACGGAATACAGGGGCGAAAGTTTTGGTCTAGAACCCATATTGCATGCTTGGGGCCTTAGTCTCCCGATCTGGAGCTCTCTAGCCTAGCTCATCACTAGGTCCTTCCCAGGACTGATAGGTGCTTGCCAGAGGACCTGTACAAGCTGATAGTGACATATTGAGGGCAGCAGGGGCCAACACTGGCCTCTAAGGACTGGGGAAGGAAAGGGAGGAAACTGGGGAGATTGGAGGGCCAGGATTAGGTGTCCAACTAGGCTCCTACCCCACCCCATCCCCACAAATGGCCATGGGCAAATACACACCCCTAATGGGGCCTGGGAATCTGCTCCTCCGCAGGGCTGCTGGAATGGGCTCTGGCTCTCCTCTTTCTCTCTGTGCGGAGCGTTCTACTTTCTCCCCCCTGCCTCTGCCTGGGCTCCTCTCTTTCACTTCCTCCTGTCCTCTCCCCCAATCCATCCTGAGTAAGTCACCTCAGAGGCTCATGCTGGCTCTTAGCCCTGCCTTGGTGGAGGCCATCTCCATAGCACTCAGGCCTGTTGGGGGTTGGCACCTGCCCCTCAAGATATTCTAGCCACAGCCCACCCACTCTGTCTCTGCCAACTGAGGCTTCCTTCTATCTGGCATGCCCTTTTCCTGAAAATTCCGCCTTCTAACTGACACCTCTATGGACACACCCCTTGGACACTGGACCTGCTGTATTGCCTGGTACATCAAGGCAGACTCATGGGGCAGGCAAGGATTGCAAATCACTGATCTTCATTGTCTCCTGCATGGGGCTAAGAAGGAGTCCCTGGAGTGGGAGGGCAGAGCAGGGCAGGACCCTCAAAACGCCCCTCCCATTATGGCTTCCTTTGGGCCTTGGTCTCTGCAGGGGGGCACTAGCCTCTCTCATATCCTCCTATCACACTCCACAGGGCACCACTCACCTGTGCCGCCTCTTCCTCCTGGACCCAGAATCAGACCTGTAGGGCCACAAAAAGAGTTCTCCTGAGTCCATCTGGGATGACTCAGGGACACCCAGGCAGCACAGCCCTGGTCCTGGGCCCCATGGAAGTGAGGGGAAGCCCCGGGAGAGGAAGGGTACCTGTCTTTGCGGTGCTTCTTCACACCCTTCTTCTTCTTGCGCAGGGGCGAGGAGCTCCCACAGCTGCGGACACAAGGGTGGGAGGTGGGCTCCAGTGAACGGGGCTGGGAGGCGGAGGGGCAGCTGGAAATGTCTAGGGAAGGCTGGGTGCCTGGGGCTCAAAGCTGGAAAAGGGATTCCAGGCCATGAAGCCACCTGCCTGCTGTACAGAGTGAACCGAGGCCCAGGGGATTGGCAAAGTTCCTAAAGGCAGTTGATGGAACTGCCCGTGCTGTCCCTGGTCACCCTTCTAGCCTCCTTGGCGTGGTAAGAGGGGCTACTTCGAATCACAGGTTGGAGGCTGTAATGGTGGGAGTTCTGGCCTTGCTGGGGAAAAGCTGTTGGTGTCCAAGGTCCAGGCCCTGAGGTCCAAGGCCTCCTGCATCTGGAGATGGCCCTGGAATCTCATCACCCCTCCTCCCAGACACCGCCCCCCCCCCCCTTCCTGGTCCTTGCCCGCCTGCATCACTGACCTGCACTCCGAGTCTAGTCTCCTCTTTTTGCTGAGGGCCAGAGGAGAAAGAAGGACAGACAGTTCCACGGGGTTAGTTGGGTCCCCAGACGATTGTCAGGGTCTCACTCAGGACAGGGGAGAGGGGACCACAGATGAGACGCTGGCAAACCCCGCCCCCCCCCCCCCCCAGGCCACTCATACAATGGTGGGGAGGGCAGGGCTATTGGGGAAGGGCAGAGGGGTACCCATCGGGTGGACAGGGTTAGTGTGTCTAGTTCTGGGGCAGAGGCTCTGAGGTCTGGGGGGCGGGGGGGGGGGGGTGATGCCACTGTGGGGACTCAGTGAAGGGAGGGGACGTGGTGAAAGGGAGGGGCTCGTGGAGGGCGGGGCCTGGTAAAAGGAAGGGGGCTGAGTGAAGGGCGGAGTCAGAAGCGGGAGCACATTTTGTTGGGGGCTGAGAGGCTCAGCGAGGCCGGGCTCCCCAATGCAGCGTGGGGTCCCTGCAGACGCCGCGGGAGGGGGACCCCCCGCGCCCCTCCCGCCCCGCCGCAGCCGGAGGCGCTCTCACCGGCTCCTCCGGTGGCTGCCTTTCTTTTTCTTCTTCTTGGGAGGGGGCGAGGCCGAGCTGCTGGACCAGTGCTTGGTCCTGCGGAGAGGGGGCGGGGGCGGGCGGCGGTGAGGGGCCGGGCCGCCCCACCTGGGCCCTGCCCTTCCCCGCCGCGCCGGGCGCTGACCTGTAGCCGCGGTGCCCGCGGTAGCAGGCGGCCGGGCAGTCGCAGTCCACCGGGCCGTCGTCCTCGTCGAAGGGCGCATACTCCAGGCCGGGCTCGGCGCCCTCAGGCAGCCGCGGGGTCTCCACCACGCTGCCGGCGACAGGGACGCTCAGCATCGGTCGGGCCCTCCAGCCGCCCCTCTCTCAGAGCAGCGCCCCAGGCCTGCTCCGCCCCAAAGGCCCGAGGGAGGCGGGGTGCGGCCGGCTCCAGCGTCTGCAGCCTCGACCTCTAGACAGTCCGGCGGGGATTTGGGGGATCCTGCGGGGAGCCTTCCTTACAGGACTCCCAGCCTGAACGGGGCCATATTTTGCGAAAGAGAGAAAAATAGCAAGGAGCACCCCTCTCCCCCTAAGTTCTCTTTACAAGCGCTCTCTCTCTCTCTCTCTCTCTCTCTCTCTCTCTCTCTCTCTCTCTCTCTCTCTCTCTCTCTCCCTCCCTCCCTCATCAATGAGGCCCCTCCTCCTGACTGAGGCCACTCCCCTTACGGAGACCCCTTCCCCGCACTGACTTTTTGTCCCTTAGTCCCATTCATGGTCCCCTAATCAGCCCTCTTTCCCCTCATGGAGCCCCTTTCATGGATCTCTGTCCCCTTGAACCATTCGCCAGGCCCTTGCCCCTCTCAGCCCGCTCATCCTCTCCAGCCTTCCTTTCCCCTCCCTGAGCCGCCCTCACTGATAAGGCTTTCCTTAACCCTGCTGTCCCAGTTCCGGAACTGCCTCCCCCTGCCCACCCGACTGCCTCCGTCCTCCTCACCCCTCCTTCCTCCAGCCCTGGCTGCCTCTCTAAAATATTCATAGCTTCCCCTCGCCCTCCTCTCCGCTGCCTCCAGCCTCCGGAGGCCTCCTCGCTCTTCTGCTGCCGAGCTGTCATCAATCACTGCCTGGCGGCAGCAGTCCGCCTCGGATGCTCCCCATCCATCTTGCAGAGCTCTCCCTTACCCTCAGCAGGGCCCCAGGTGGTCCTGGCCCTGCTCTTGGTTCAGGAGCCCAGCCTTCAGCCAGATGTTTGCACCCTGCGGGCATGTCAAAGAATGATGCTTTTCCCCCAAAAGGCAGCATCACAAGCTGTCCCTAGGTCACCGTATGGCCTGGTGCCTGTCTGCCCCCTCTCTGAACTTCTTGTCCAAGATGAGAGTGATAATGTGTTATAGGGCTTTGGGAGAATTCACCGCGATAACGGGTGCTTTGCAACTTTGCTTTTTAGTAAATATGCCCAGAAGCCACCCTACAAAAGCCCAGCTTCAGGGCACTGGTTTCAGGGTGGTGCCCTCCACCTTCCATTTTCCATTTCATACTAGCTCAGTCCATGCCTCTTCTGCATGGAGGCTCAGTTGCCCTCACTCCTGGGTGCCATTCACCTGGCTCATTCTTTCCCTGCCCTGAGAGAGAGAGAGGCCAGGACTTGGATGGCAGAGTGTTAAAACATGACATGAGCAGAAACCGGTTTGGCTTAGTGGTGAAGCGTCGGTCTGCAGACTGAAAGGTCCGGGTTTGATTTCTGTCAAGGGCATGTACCTTGGTTGCGGGCATATCCCCAGTGGGGGTGTGCAGGAGGCAGTCGATCGATGATTCTCATCGATGTTTCTAACTCTCTATCCCTCTCTCTTTCTCTCTGTAAAAAATCAATAAAATATATTTAAAAAAAAAACACACAAAACATGACATGGGCTTTGGATTCACACAGACAGGTCTGAATCCAGGCATGACCAAGCTCACTGAGCCTCAAGGTCCTTATCTATCCAACAAGGAAAGAATATCCCAGCTTTGAGGAGAGGATTAAGAGAGATTCTGTTTTTGAAGCTCTTGTTTCCCCCCCCCCCCCCCACACACACACACACACACACACACACACACACACACACACACGGTCACCACTGTTAGATGGAGAGCTCAGTCTGACACTCACATACCAACACCTCCTCTTGCAGGGAGAAAAGCAGTTGTGACACATGAAAGAGATATAGGGCAAGGAAGGCAAACCACAGCTACTGATGGAAAAGACTCTTCAGAAACAAATCTCCAGGAATCTGCTAATCTAGAATCTCAGCGATGCCATTCAGTTCCCTAACATGACCCTGGAAGCCTTGAAGTCATCCAGGCAGTACAGGAGGTTTTTCTGGGGTGATGGAGGAGAGGCTCATGTCATTCCCCCACCCCCACAGAGTCAAACACCCCACATCCCTTCACTCAAACCTCTGTGCTCTCCCCACGCTCTTCTCCCGACGCCAGTGGCCTCCCACCTCCTGTCCCTGCCCCTGAAATCCTCAGCTCACCCCACACAGCCCTCAGCCACACAAATGCCTGACCGTAAAAGATAGTCTGCAACCCTAACCGGTTTGGCTCAGTGGATAGAGCGTTGGCCTGCGGACTGAGGGGTCTCGGGTTTGATTCCGGTCAAGGGCATGTACCTTGGTTGCGGGCACAACCCCAGTGGGGGGTGCGCAGGAAGCATTTGATCGGTGTTTCTCTCTCATTGATGTTTCTAACTCTCTATCCCTCTCCCTTCCTCTCTGTAAAAAGTCAATAAAATATATTAAAAAAAAAAGATAGTCTTCAGCAAAACTTAAGGGCACTCCAATATTGTGTGGAGCCAGTGGGAGAGGGGGCTTCCACTTATCTGGACACAAAAATGAGGACGGTTATTGACAAAATAAAATAGCTCAGTTTGGGCACTGCCTTCTGCAGGGAGCCCTTCTTGCCTCCTAACATCCTAGCTGAGTGAGCCACTGAGTGTAGGCCCTCACGGAGCTCCTTCCCCTCACTGTGCCTTCCTTAGTCTGCTGGCCACCCCCTTTCTTCCTCTGTCCCCAGGACAGAACTTTCTCCCCACGACCCCATCATCCCTCCCTGAGCTTTGTCATTTGGCCTCTCTCATTCTTCAGTCCCTTCTTGAAAGCAGACATAGGGTATGAGTAGCAGGCTCAAGGAGAGGCACAAGGTCTCAGAACCTTGGTAAGACTTGTTCTGGGAGCTCCAGGGATATCAACGGGAATAGTTTTGTGGGCTGGTACCACCACATCTGCTTTGCAAGATCTCCCAGGGTCCTCCTATTCTGCCTTTCCTAGATGACAGTATCACTAACAACAATATTTTCTAATGTTCAAATATCCACTAGTGCTTTGCAGTTCACACATCCCATGTAGAGCTACTTAGAAAAATTGTCCCCTCCCCCTATTTTATAGATGAGAAAACTGAGGCCCAGAGAGAAAAAGGAACATCCCTTATGGTTTTGGGACCTTTGAGTAAAGAATGTAAGTTCACCTATGCAATTGGCCTTGAGAAGTCATGTGCAAACAGGATAGCCCTTGTCTTAGCTGGCTGTGCTTCCCTGCTGTAGATGTTAGCTCAGCTGTTTCCTCCCTATTTTGTAGACACAGTTGAAGGGGGTGTACTGAGCTCTAGATTTGTTTAACATTTCCTACTCTTAAGTTCAAGTTTGTGGTCTCGTTTACTTCTAACCAAGTCCATGAAATAGGCAGGGGAGGCATTCCTCCCTGTGACAGAACAAATCAAGCCCCAGGTAACTGACCAAAGCAGGCCCAAAGAGTCCACTGCAGAGGGACCAAGAACATATGAGGTTGAACACAGACAGCACTGCACAGAACACATGCTGGACGGGCTGCCGTGGGCAAGGTTCTGACCTGGGAAAAGACTGCCTGTCACATGCCCTTCTTCCCGCCAGCAGTTTTGCTAATTAACTGGTTCTGTTTTCCATTATCCAGGAGCATAATAGCCAATTGACAGATGAATGAGTCCAGACAGAGGAGTGGCAGATCCCAGGCAAAGGCTCTGCCCTCTCTGTTCCAGCTTATTCACTCGGCCAGTGTGCCAGGCCTGCCAGGAGCCTGGAGGGAGGCGGGGGGTTGTGGGGTTTAGGGATGGCAGGAAAGGAGATGAATCAAGCCTGAGGCCTCTCCTCTATCTTCTCAACGTGCAGGGAAAAATATAACACTGTGCATATTATATTGTAATTACTAATGCAGGTGCCAGGTACTATTCCAAGCACTTTACATGTATTTAATCATTTAATGCTCAGAACAAGCCTTTATGTGAGTACCACCATTAATAGTCCCATATTCCAGATAAAATAAAGTGGCACAGAGAGGTCACACTCCATCCAACATTAGATGCACTGAAAGAAAGGATGAATTTTCTCACTGTGTTTAGAAAGTAGCTTATGAATTTTGTTCTCTATAAATCCTCTATTCCAAAAATTTTGCTGTATTACAAAACTATGAAAACAGTTATTCTTAAAAGTTGTCATTGTCTACTAGAGTAAAAACAAACAAACAAACAAACAAACAACAACAACAACAAAATGAAAAAGAAATGACAGCAGCCCCAAGAAATAAAGAAAATGTATGCACTCTAAAGAAGAGAAGCTTTTACTTTTATCCTGGCAATATGGGCAAAGTGGTTTTTAGAGGCAGCCTTGGATGATGGGGTGTTTTGATGGGGTGTGTTGTGCAGAAGAGGCTAGGGTGTTTGAGGCTGAGGGCCCAGAATGTGAAAAGATATGGGAGTTGCAAACATACAGGGCACAGCTGAGAATTGCCAGTAGGCCAAGCTGGCTGCTGTGTGATGCTAAGAGTGGGAGACCAGGCTGAGTCTAGTGTGTGGAGGCCTTGAATGCCAGGCCAGAGAGTCCATACTTGATTGCATGGATGATGGGGAACCTACAGAAGGTTTTTGGGGCAAAATAGGACTCCCCACACAAAATAGGACAAAAGTCTCCAGATCTCTGGGACCTACTATTTCTCTCCATCACCTTTCCCCAGTTTCATCTGCCTGGTCATCTTTCAAAGGGTAAAGTCCCCGCACACCCATCTGACCACATCACACCTATCAAAACCTTCCACTGTCTCCCACCATCTATGGATCATATCCAGATAATACTGCAGCAGTGTGATGTTCTGGTATCCAGTATGGAGGGTAGACAGTTGGAGTGTTGGTTGAGGTGGGACTGCCCCAAGTGACTGTCACTCAAATCAATCAATCAGCTTAAGGAAGACTGATGATTCCTGGGAATAAAAAGCTCTGGGAGTGACTCTTTGTTGAGACCCTTTCCTGAGTGGGAGTTGTCATGGATTCTTACAGTTCGTAGACAGTTAAAATCAGACACACACACACACACACACACACACACCCAAGGTGGAGACCCTTCAGCTGGCTCTTCTTTGCCATCTTATTATGAGAAGGCATTGAATTTCTATACATCTCAAATTACCTGTCTATGAATGCGTGTGGGGTATCAGGGTCAGGAAGCCAAAGACATGAGCACAGAAACTACTGGGTGGTCAGAGGGCTTTATAAATCCCTGAGAGAATCTGGAGAAACTCAGGCAGAGGGGAATAAGTTAATATCAACCCAACACTCGCCACTGCCAGGCCTCCCTGTGACCATGGGGACCGTGGATGTTATGGGCTGAATGTTGTGTCCCCTCCAAATTCATATGTTGAAACTGTAATCCCAATGTGATGGTATTAGGAGGCCGGGCCTTTGGGAGGTAATTAGGTCATGAGGGTGAGCTCTCATGGATGGGACTAGCACCCCTATAAGAAGAGACAAAAGAGCTAGTTTTCTTTTTGTCATGTGAGGATATAAGAAGGTCACAGTCTACAACCCAGAACACATTTATCACCTGAACCTGACCATGATCTCAGACTCCCAGCTTACAGAACTGTGAGAAACAAGTTTTTAATGTTATACAACAAAGCCACCCAATCTCTGGTATTTTTGTTATAGTAGCCTGAGCTGACTCAGATAGTTGTGCTGGTCATCTAGTAGTGATACATGTCTGCTGTGTGCTAGTGACTATTCTTCACATCTACATTCATTGTCTCAATTAATTTCCTCAACAGTCCTATGTGGCAGGTACTAATTTTATAAGTAAAGAGTTGGAAGCCCAGAGAAGTTAGGGACCTGTTCAAGCCGCACAGCTGGGGTGTGGTGGAGCAGAAATCCATAGCCCAGGCTGTTAACATTAAACTTAAAGGTTTAGAGTGACAGATGGAATGTCTGACACCAGAGCCTGCATTCTCCCTCAAGTACCCCACACGCTGAGCTAAGAATTGAAGGTCTACAGTAAGGCAGGTACAGGACCAGTCTCATCTCTTTTCCCGCCCCCCCCACCCCATCCCCCCGCCCGGGCCTTGGGTTCAGCACCACAAACAGCTCCTTCCAGCCTCAGTAATCTGGGGCGCACCAGCAGCCTCCTTAGTAGTTTGTTTGGTATAGTCACTTTTTGGAGTGATATTTTCACCCCATTTTGGCTGCCTGAACTAAAAGAAGCCTTCTGGTCGAACCCCTTTTCTGTGTAAAGGAAGAAACTTAGGCTTCAGGGAAGATTTTCAAGCTGCCTTGTTCTAGGCACTAGGGATATAGCAATAAACAAAACGGATAATGATCCTATCTTCATGGAGTTCACGTTCTAGTGGGGTCCCAGGATCCTGCCAATTCTATACTGTCCTCTGCCTCCAGACCAGGGGTTCTCCCTGACTGTCAAGTCTCCCCAGGACCCTTTCCTGACTGACAACACTAGCCTGTCCTCCTCAGTTCTCCAACTGAACAAGCACAGGGCTGAAAGGGTCAAGTGGCCGCATTGTCTGGAGCTGCCTGTAATTCCAGGTTTCAGGTTTCAGGTTTCAGGTTTCAGGTTTGTGTTCCCACCCAGAGAACAGGAGGCAGGTCTTTCCCTTCTTTCTTCCCTCCTCATTGCACTAGCTCAGGGTTAGGCATGCATCACAGAGCCTCAAGGACATTTCCTTTGATGGTCGAGACACTGCTACATTCCCATGGCATATTTCTCAGTGCATCGCAGTTCTTAAATGCATCATTCATTTGTTCATTCACTTATGGAAAGATAAGATCAAGACTACTGGAAAAGACCTGGGAAACATCCACTAACAGGAGAGTGTTCAGCTGTAGAAGGGATAAGATTCCCCCAGGAGAAGAGGGAAGGCAGAAGGAAGGAACAGACCTGAGGACGTGACAGAACCTTGGGGTGAGGGACACCAACATCTGGGAAGTGGGCAGGAATAAGAAAGACAGCAGAAGCCATCAGAGGGCCAGGAGGAATTCACAGAGAACTGCCTACTGGAAGCCAGGGGGGAAAGTAGGTTTTCAGAAGGGGAAGCATAATGGTGGAAACACAACTGCCAGAAAGGTCAGGCCCATGGCATGACAGTGGCCATAGCCTGAGCAAGTCACCACTTCTGCATGGCTTAAGGAAGTGGAGACAATGCATGCCACACACAAACATTTGATTGAACCCTAGCTGGTTTGGCTTAGTGGAGAGAGCATCGGCTAGTGGACTGAAGGGTCCCTGGTTCAATTCTGGGAAAGGGAACTTGCCTGGGTTGCAGGCTCAATCCCCAGTAGGGGTTGTGCAGGAGGCAACCTATCAATAATTATCTCTCATCATTAATGTTTCTATCTCTGTCTCCCTCTCCCTTCTTCTCTGAAATCAATAAAAATATATTTTAAAATTTTTTTATTGAGAAAGGAGAGAAAAATGTGGGCTGGTAGCTGGAGGAGAAAGCAGAATTGAGGAAGGACAACTAGATTAATAGGAAGAAGCGCAGGGGAGGGAAAAAGGGCAGGCCTGAGCTGGGTCCAGGGAAGGTGGCAGGTAGAGTCCAGAGGAGGCCTCACACTCTCACACCATATGGGAGGGGGAAGGGCAGATGATTTCCAGAGGAGTCCTGGGTGATGTGAAGGGGCACCAGTCAGAAAGCCAGGACCTGTTGGGTTTGGAGGTGGTGCAGGCAGCAACAAGAGGAGCTGGTTTACCAGGAGGTTTGAGAGAGGAAGAGAAGGGCTGGCCTTGTTCTGTAGGGAACTGGCTGGCATCATGAGGGGGAAGGCACAGAAGCTGTTGAGGGCTGCTGGGAATTCCGGCGGGCTGGAGAGAAGGAGTTAGTGGTGACATCACCTATTCCCGACAAAATAAAAGGGAGAGGCCAACTGGGCCTGACTTCCCAAGTCATCTGTGAACCCCCACAAGCCTGAGGCTGCTCTGACTCTGCTTTAACTCCTACCCAGGCCAGAGAGGGGAAGTTTAAGAGAGGTAAGAAGCAGGGAATGCCACAATGGGGCAGGGATACTGAAGCTTTGCAAGGGGAAGATTGATCAGAGTGGATTCAGTGACACAGTGCACAATGCCTGCCAGGCTTCTGGACAGGCTGCCCCGCCCTCCTGTGGCAGTCTGCTCCATTCTGTATAGTTTTGAGTGGTTCCCAGTTCTCTAAATGAGACAAAGTTGACCTCCCTATAACTTCCCTGTTTATCCAAAGTTCTCCTGGGGGCCTATCGCCCACCAGTCCTGTGACAGGTGCCTCCTGCCCTTTGACAGGTGCAGGGATGTCACACACACACACACACACACACACACACACACACACACACACACACACCAGCTCATGCTCTCTTTCTCTGACAAGACTTTGGTCACGCTAACAATGGTGTGTTGAGTCTTATTTTCCAGAGTACGTGTTTACTCTGGAGGCCATTGTATGGGTAGTAAGAGTTGGGGCAGAAAGAATACCTTCGGGTCCCACCTGTGACAATGCTAGGGTCAGAACATTTATCAGGTTTCCTGATTTGCAGCCTATGATTCCTTGACCTGAGAAGTGGACTGCCTCTCCCACTGATGGGCCATAGGTAAAACCCGGGGAGCAGGGGCAGGTCCCATTGATGCCCTGGTGCCCTGCCTTGTGCCTGGGCCAGGCTGGAGCTTCCAGTGGACAGAGTCCACATCTCTCTTCTCTTCCTTGCAGACCCCCAACCCTCAGAAGGAGCATTTGGAAAGGCTCCCCTGGCACCCAGCTGCTGTCTGAGCCTGTTCCCTCCCTTCCCCTGCCCCCACACAGGTGGCACTCACATGTGGCCTCCAGTCCGGTCTTCTCTTGTGAGCATTCCCTCCTTCTCCATCAGCATCTGCCGGAAAGTCCTGACCTTCTGCCGGGTTTCCTCCTCAGAGTACCTGCAGGGGTGAATGGAGGGTGATGGCTGCTCTCTTCCTGCCTGTGCCCTCCCTGCTCCTCCCCCAGCCCTGTCAGAAGAGCACTTTCCAGCTTGGAATGGTCTGTCCAAGCAAGGCTTTCAATGCTGAGGAAGCGCAAGGCCTGCCCACTTTGTACCAAAGCAGCCAACCAACCAACTAAACAAACACCAGCCAGGCAAACAAATAAACGAAAGGAAGATTTGTTCCCAGAGGTGGGGAGACCAGGTAGGTGGGGCTATGCTTCCTTCTGGCCCTCATCCACCCCCAGGGCAGGCCTCCCTCCCACATCCTAACTACATGCACTCTGGACACATTTTAGGGAGAAATGAGAATCCATGGCTTTTTCTGCTTTCCTAGCCTCAAGGACATCTGATCCTCACAATAACCTTGGGAAGTTCTTCGAACATCCCTATCTCTGCAGGATCAAGGCTACCAAGTGGCTTCCTGGGGATCCCAGTGCTAGATCCATTGTCTCTTTCTGTGTGAGTTGGGTGGGGTGGATGAAATCTGTGCCTTGAATGGAAACTCTCACTTCTCTACTCCTTTATCCCTTCCTCCCTCCTTGAGCCAGGTCTCAGGCTAGGGATCAAAATCCAGAATTCTCTCCTCCTTATCCTCACTCTGACACCCTGGAGTCAGTCTCCATCCTCTCTCACTGCACCACTGTGACAGCTGCTGCCTGGCCCTTCCAGCTCTCCTGGCATTTTTCTCCAACATGTGTCCTTGCTGCCCATGTCTTTGCTCACCCAGCCCCTGGCCCTGTATTCAGTGACCGCTGCTAAATGAATCTTGGGGTTCCCAGCCCACACCCTCTCTTCTTTCTGGGCTGCAGGTCAGTGTCCTGGGTAAATAGGAATGAGGTCCAGTCTTGTCTCTATCATCCATTCACCATTCACCTTCTATCCATGCAGCAGGTCCAGCCTTCCCATTCAGCCTATTCATAAAAACAGTACATGTTTTCTCTTAGGGACTCGATATTGTTTCTCCATCCTTCTCTAACCAATTATTTTCTTCCCTTCAATAAGCAAGTGTGGAGAAACCCTGTCTTTTTTTAGAGCAATGTGGCAATTCTTTTCAAAAATCTTAAAAAATGAGCAGAAACCGGTTTGGCTCAATGGATAGAGCGTTGGCTTGGGGACTGAAGGGTCCCGGGTTCGATTCTGGTCAAGGGCATGTACCTTGGTTGCCGGCATATCCCCAGTAGGGGGTGTGCAAGAGGCAGCTGATCGATGACTCTTTCTCATCGATGTTTCTAACTCTCTATCTCTCTCCCTTCCTCTCTGTACAAAATCAATAAAATATATATTTTTTAAAAATCTTAAAAAATGAACACTCTCTTTGACTCAAATTAACTTCCAGGTTTACCCTGAGGAGATAATCATGGCTAAGCACAAAGAAGTGACTCATAGGGTGTGTACAACAGCATGGATACCCTCTGACCAGGATAGGTGCTGATGTTTGTCCTTCCTGGATCCTGGCAGGTGGTCCCTGTGCTAGTCATATCTGTTGACTCCTCTGTGTTCTGCACTGGCCTGGTGTTCCCTGAGGGCTGGGACCTTGTCTGTCTGGGTTGCCATTGTGTCCCCAGTACCTGCCACCTTGCTTGCCTTATGTGGCACCCCAATGTTTTGATAAATGAGTGACTGGTGATGGAGAGGCATCGAAGAATTTGGAGGTTGGAAAGATTTTTTTATTTTGGAAAGATGGCTTTGGTGGCTGTGCAGAGGAGAGACCTGAAGGCAGAGAGGCCACTATTGGGCTACTGCAGGAGTTCATCAGGAAATGGTGAAGTTGGAGCTAGAGAGTGGGCCTGAGTATGGAAGGGAAGAAGTGGGCAAAACCTGTCTAGGTGGGAAAATGGCTGGGACTCAAGGGCTGATTGGACATGTTGGGGACAGGGGTAAGATAAGGAGCATAGCTTTTTAACCAGGTGTCTCCTGACTCCTAACTTGGGTCTAATCCTCTGCAGGTTCAGGCACCTGCATGGCCCACCATATGGAGGGTTGAACCCTGCTTGGCAGGGGGAGAGGCCCATCTCTCCCAACTCCCACCCCCATCGCAGGGAGGATGTGTGGGGGTGTGGGGTGCTTAGGCCACACTAGACTGGCGTCTCTAACCCAGCTTCACCAAGCTCGGGGCCTGGCCCGTGGTGTCCTCCTCAGTCCCTGTTTAGCATTCAGCTGGAGGGTCCTTGTCCTTGTGTGTTGGGCAGTGCAGAGCCCTCGGACGGCTGGGTTGGTCTGGTGCACTGGAAGAAGGGGTGGTGCCCTCTCTCTGAGCAGTGGAGGCACAGAGGAACTGCTCCCATTTCATCTTTTCCTCATACCAGCTTGTCATTGTCATCAGCACAGAGACAAGCAGCATAGGCCTCTTTAAAACGGCTTAGCTCCGGACTCTGGGAGGAAGACCCAGGCTGGCTGGCCCATTGGCACAGGGCTCTGCACGTGGTGGGGTTGGGGAGGAGATAGCCTAAGAGCAAGGCTAGATTCCAAGTTGGATAGGAGGGGTCTCAGGCCAGGGTTCAAGCCCCATGTCTAGGGGTCTATGGAGCATGTGAGGCTGAGAAATGGGTTTCATTGAGACTTGGAATGGGACATATGCAGGGACTTGGGGCTCATCCCAGAACTGGCAGGTTTACGGCAAGTTGACTAACTCCAGCACCTGTCGTTGAGGGCTGAGGGGCTGGATTAAATCAACTTGGTGGCTTGGGGAGGACCACTCTCTGCCCCAGGGTTTCATGCTGGGAGAAGCTGGGGACCCAGGAATAACATTTACTAGTTACTGGGCAAATAGGTCTCAAGTGTGACCGCCATCTCCTATTCTCCTCTCTCCTCCAATCTTTTGAGGTCACGCCTCTCAGCTGAGGCTCTGTGGAACAGTGATGAAGAGGGGAGGCAGGAGAGCCAGGCACTCCTATTTTTGAGTCCTGGCACCCCCGTTCCCCGCCCCCACCCCCAATTGCCTAGCTTTGTGACCTTGGACAAGTTCATACACTTCTCTTAGCCTTAGCCCTTACATCTGTGAAATGAGATAGTAACCTGCCTTTCAAGGTTATCATAAGGATTAAGAGAGATGGTGCATATACAGTCCTTTGCCCATCACATAGTAGATGCTCAATTAATCATAGTGATTGATTTTGTTCCAGAGTGACGGGAACAGAGGGTCTAGCTATCCCAAGCTCTCTGTTGTTTTCTACTCCAGACCCCTGCCAGATCAACAAGGTCCCACCCAGGTCAGGAGCCACCTGGACCTCTTCACTCTGTATTCCTAGGAAGCAAAGGCTGACATGGAAGGGAGGCTGGTACCCAAACCATTCACTCTTTGAGGAAGTGGCAGCATCTGCCAACTTAAGGCCACACTGGAGGCCTGGCTAGCATTGGCCAAACCCTCATACTAAAAGCCAAGGGCTTAGGCAATGATGTCTGTCTCCCTCGTCCCCACTCCCCTGTATGGGAAAGACACGCCAAATTTGTTGCTGCTTTGGGGACTTCCTGGGTTGCCCTCTGGGGCTGGGGTGGGATGAGGAGAAACTGCATTTTAAAAGATATTCTCAGTCGAAACCGGTTTGGCTCAGTGGTAGAGTATCAGTCTGCAGACTGAAAGGTCCCAGGTTCGATTCCAGTCAAGGGCATGTACTTTGGTTGCGGGTACATCCCCGGTAGGGGGTGTGCAAGAGGCAGCTGGTCGATGTTTCTCTCTCATCGACGTTTCTAGCTCTCTATCTCTCTCCCTTCCTCTCTGTAAAAAATCAATAAAGTATATTTAAAAAAAAAAAAAAGATATTCTCAGAGTGGAAAATGTTTCATTCTGCTGTCCTTGCCCAGACCTAGGCTCTTAGATAATCCCTTCCTTTGTCATTAATTTGATTTTCACGGAGGAACAGAAGAGATGACTTCTGAGCGGTAGATGGCCTCACTATTCCCATTTTATAAAAGAGGAAACAGAACAAGGGAGAGGGGAGGGCCCATAGCTCCACGCCCAAGGAGGCCACCTTGCCACCACCACCATAGCCATTGTGTCCTCACAGGAAAGGGCCTAGGTAGGGTGGGTGGGGATGTTTGTGGTGGTGGTGGTGGGGGTGAGAACATCACATTGCACAGGCTGTGGGCTCTGTCCCCACCCCTACGATGATTGCAAGCTGCACACAGAGGCTACCCTGGAAGGTGTTTCCAAATGCAGCATCAATCACCAGCGAATTAGCCTGCCATCCATCAATATTAAGGAAGGGATTGCTTTTTAATGAGGCCAAAGAATGCGTGTTCCTGTGACTAGTGGGAATATTTGTCAAATGCCTGAGAACCTGGTAAATAAACGCAAATGAACCAGTGTTTCTAGAAATGGATATTAATGACTAGATTGGATAGCAGGGCAAGGGTTCCTAGTGTTTGTGGAGCATTTTCTGGGCACTGACTGGGGGCAGAGGAGCCCTGTCATGCCTTAGTCCACGGGACCCTCAGATTAATTCTGGAAGGCAAGTAATTGGGGTTTGCCCAAGGTCACAGGCCTGGGCTTAAAAGCCTGGATTGTTTGGTTTCAGAGTGGCTGTGGCCTTCACCCACCAGGCTGCAACTAAGAGGTGGGAGGAGAGGGGGATGGTGACTGGAGAGCTAGCTTTGTGGGAGACTCCAGTCTAAGGACCACCTGCAGTAAAGACTTGGGTGGGAGGAAGGGGCCCTGACTGAACATCTGGAGACCTAGTGGGTGCTTCCCAGAGAGGTACAGGTCCTTAATGCCTGGGGACTGACTGCAGTGACTTGGCCAAATGTTATCCCCTTCCATCAAAGGCTGCCTTCATCTGGTAAAGGTCCTCCCAGGTGCAGAGAGGGGCTTGGGGCTCCTGGAAGAGGAGGAGATTCGCCAAGGGAAAGGGGTGGGGGGAAGGAGCTTCCTGAGGAATGTGCCTTAGGGTACCCTGAATAAAGTCATCCCTTCTGTTCCCTACCCACAGCCATGCTCCCTTCACTCCTCTCCCAACTTAGCAGGGTTTGCAGGATTAAGGTCTGGGGCTCTCTCTGCAGAGGACACTCCATCCTATTCCCTACTCAATCCTGCCCCGGGATCTCATTTCTTCTGCTCACATCCACAGCTCATGGAACCTGTTTTCAGCTGCCAGCAGAGGCCTCCTTTCGGTCTGCTTTCAGTAGCCTTCCATCATCACTCTCTGAAGAGACCCTACCTCCCCCATCCCTCAACCTGGTCCCCAGCTGGAGGTGAACACCAAGTCCCCGTGCCCCTGTCTTTTCTGTACCAGGCCTGCAGGAGGCTCTGGACCCAGGGCCTTTCTTTCTGACGGCCTTCCTGATGGACTGCCACTGGTGGCTCTCTCTGAGCCTCAGTGTCTTCCTGGGACAGTGAGCCATGTCTTGGCTGCCTCTGGAGGAGTCCAAGAGGACTGGATGGACAGACAAAAGTATGGTTTGGAAGGACTGCTGTATACAGGCTGTCTGGCCTGATGTGGCTCCAGGCCCTATCCCACCCATTGGCATTTCTGATTTCTCAGCTCACTGACAGTGCATATCTGACAGACAGGCCCTGCTCCCAACTTCGTCTCTCTCCACAGCCAGCTCACTCCTTTCAGAGTACTCAGGACAGAGGCAAAAGGGAGCCTTGAGACTATCAGCTTTCCTCGGAGCTGCACAAGTGGATAGGCTTTGTTCCTGGGTTTTCTTGCTTTTTTTGTCTTCAGCCTCATGCGGAGGGCTGTCTCTACTAGACTTGCCAGGGAGGTTCCTCACAACTCCTCCTTCTCAGCTGGACAAACTCCTACTCATCCTTCAAGGCCCATTTGAATGTCTTCTCCTCTCAGAACCTCTCCTCTGAGCTCCTGAAGCACTTGGCCCTCTCCTGTCCTCTCCTGTCCTGTCCCAAGATTCTAACCTGTTTTGTGATGGAGTTGGTTGTTAACATGCTTGTTTCCTTTTTGAGATGGGGAGAGACTTTGAGGAAGTAACTCCAATCCAACTCTGGGTCCCAGCACAGTGCCCAGCACACTTATGTGCCCATGAGTGGTTCTGGGCCAGAGAGGATGAAACCAAGCTTCCAGATGTGGCAGCCAGCAGCAGTCCTTTGCTGAAACCACATAGTAAGGATCCATTGTGCTTTCTTGTCTGGCTGCAGCTCATGCTTGGCAGAGTCTAGGCAGCTAAATCCATCAATTTTATAGAAGGGGAAACTGAGGCACGTTTATATGCTTCTCTCCCGCACTGGACTGGACTGGATGTTTTTGAAAGGCATGAGTTGTGTCTCCTTGGCTACTGTAAATCTGAGCTTGACATAGAGTGGGTGTTCAGGACAGTTTATTGGTTGAATAAACAAGTAAACGAATAAAAGTTCGGTTGGGTTTGCCATAGTTCCACTCCCACGGTTTCAGACTCCCTTCCCTTGGTCCCTTGCCTGACTGTGCTCCAGGGTCCCCACTCTTGCCTACCTCTGCTCTAGCCCCAGCCCCGCCCCCGCCCCTACCCGCTGGCCCTGCCCTGCAGCCCAACAGATTCCCCTTCTTGGGCCCCTGCAGCCAGCTCACCCCTGCTCCTCCATCATCTCCTGCAGCTCCATGCACTTGAGCTCCACGCGCCGCTTGCGCTCGTGGTCCAGGATCTCACGGTGCGCGCGCTTTACTAGCCCGGGCTCGGCGGCGCGCATCTCCTCCTCGGTCCGCGGCCAGTTCCCGGAGGAGGCTCCGGGCTGCGGGAAGCCGTTGGCAGCATCGGGCGGGGACGGCATGCTAGCTGCCCCGTTGTTCACGGTGGAGGACATAGCGGCTGGCCCCGGAGCTGCTGGCCTCGGCCCTGTGGGACCAGACACAGACATGAGGCGAGACGGTCAGTTCTTGGCCACCTGCTAAGCTCCTCTCTGCGCGGGTTAATCCTGAAGATTTAAAGGCCTACTCATGGCTCTAATCCGCTTCCCCTCAGACTGCGGAGGGGGATGGACAGCAAGTTTGCACCTTTGGGTCACCCCTCAGAGCAGGAGAGGGAATTGGGCACTGTGAGACGGGTGAATGCAGGCGGGACTGTAGATCGTTTCTAAGGGGCCTTGGCTTGGAATAGAATCATTTTCAGGGACCTAGTAAGCACCTAGGAATATCCTCTCTGCCTTGTACCAATGCCTAGGCCTGTCTGCCTAGCCTTTGCCTGCCCACCTGCTTGCATCTCCCCAGGCAATCAAATGAGTCCCTGGGAAAGCTTGTTAGTTTCATTCTTGTTTTTCCTTCAGAGTCAGTTTAAATCTCCTTCTCCCCCAAACACTCACTGTCCTGGCTCTGGCTGGTGGGAATCCAGTCCACATGTGCTCCCACCTCCCAGGGCAGCCCTGCAGAGATGGGAAGCCAGAGCCTTCTCCGGACTTAGGGGCACTCCCACCGCAGATGCAGTTTTCAGTCCCCACTTCGATTTGGCTAACTGCCCCAAAGTCAGCAGTACGGGGGAAAGGGGGGGGGGGGGGCTGAAGCAGATTAAAAGCCCCCTTTGTTCTGGAAACACTGCTTCTGAGAATGTGACCAAAAGTGGCACTGACGTTAGCTTTGCAGGCAGACACAGCCTCCTACAGGCCCAGGGTGACATGGGAGTCAGCCTGGCCTAAGAGGTAAGAAGCCCTGGCTCCACACTAGGCCCAAAGTAGAGCACATGCATGCATTTGCGTGGGCACACACACGCACACACACTTATGTGCGCACACACATACACACCAAGGACCTATCTTAACAGAGGGAGGCACCTTCTGAGCTATTTCCATTTCCTTTCTCCAAGGCTCTGCTAGTTGCTAAGCAACAGGGAGGCCTCCTTCTCAGGGAGTGGGATGCCAGGGAGGGGAAGGGTGGAGGGAGGTGGGAAGAGAAGAAGAGAGTAGGTATATCTGGACATCCAGGATGGACCTTCCCTACAACACAACCCCCAACACACACTCTCCTTACTGGCCTCAGAATGATGGGGGTGGGGGACATTCAACGACACTGAGATTGGAAGGCAGAGAAGGGGGGGGGGGGCATGTAAGAGGCATAGAAGCTCTGAAAGGAACTTTGAGCCGAAACCTGTTTGGCTCAGTGGTAGAGCGTCGGTCTGTGGACTGAAAGGTCCCAGGTTCGATTCCAGTCAAGGGCATGTACCTGGGTTGCGGGCACATCCCCAGTAGGGGGTGTGCAAGAGGCAGCTGGTTGATGTTTCTCTGTCATCGACGTTTCTAGCTCTCTATCTCTCTCCCTTCCTCTCTGTAAAAAATTAATAAAATATATTTTTTTAAAAAAGAAAGAAAGAGAAAGGGACTTTGAGAACACAGACTCCTTTGTATGTCTATCCTCTTAAGTCCCAAGTCCCTGAGTTCCAGGCCAGGCTCCTCCACTCCTTGCTATGTGACCCTGAGAACATCACTACCCCTCTCTGAACCTCTGATCTTCTCCTGTGTCTGGGGGCATCATCCAGACTCTGCAGGAGAGGAGAGCTCTTGGGCATATACAGACCAAAAATGTTCTTTTAATCTTTCTCCACCCCAAACCCTGCAGGCATCCTGCCTGTCCCTATCCCACCTCTGCACCCCAGCTCCACCACGGCTTCTCCTGGGGCACCCATAAGCATCACCTACTCTCCAGCCCCACACGGAGCTCTAGGAACCCCGCTCCCCCCCTGCCTTGGCCACTGTGCTTAGTTCATGGGTGACACTTCCATATGTTGCTCACCTGAACCAAGTGCATGTATGGAGCTTGGAGACCACCACTGCCCTGGCCCACTGCAGCTCACCTATCATCCAGTTTGGCCCCTCAACCTCTCTTTTCAACATTGCTCACATTTATCCACTTCCTTCCCTCCCATTACCATCTCAACCCAAGCCCCTCACTCTGGTCCACTTTGGCCTGAGTGTCCTGCCTCCCCCAAACCCCCACAACCCCCTACCCACTCTGTTCATCCTGCATCAACAACCTGGGAGATAAGTCCAGGAGCAAATCAGGTGTCATGCTCTGATTAATACCTCTAGTTGCCTCCTGCCACTTTGACTGAAAGTTGTGACCTAACCTGCCTTTTGATTTAGCCTTCATGCACCCTCCAACATGTTCTCCATCTTTCTTGCCTCTCCCTTTCCCTGGGACACTCTTCTCCTGACTCCTACATGTTCTTAAAGTGACTGCTCGTAGGCCTCACCACCTCCTGGAAGCCTTCCCTTATCCCTATGGACGCTGCCCTCACAGAGCTCTTGCCGCTCATTGCTGTCACCATGAGTCCACAGGCCTGGCTCTCCCAGGCTGGGGGCATTTAGTTTTCTGCTCCTAGTGCCAGCAAAGTGCCCGAGCCAGTGGAGCTCGATGCATATGGATAGAACAATTGGAAAACAGTTATAATGGGAGGCGGGATGGAGGAATACCTGGCACTGCCCTCAATACAGCCTGCAAGACCCCTTCATGTTTTGCCCTGTGCTGTCCTGCAGCTTCATTCCTTGATACACTTCATCCTGCAACCAGCATCCAGCCCCTTGGTCTTGGTCATGTGTTCCCAGACAAGCACGCTCACTCCTTTGTACCTTTGCCCATGTGGTCACCCTATGCTGGAATACCTGTTGCCCTCTTCTCCATCCGGGGAACTTCTATTCATCCTTCAGGGCCCAGCCTAACTGTCACCTCCCCTGGGGAGCCTTCCCCACTTCTGAGGAAGGGCATGGAGGCTAGATCAAAAGGCAGGTTATGTCACAACTTTTAGTAAAAATGACAGGAGGCAACTAGAGGCCGTTAATCAGAGCCTGATTTGCTCCTGGACTGATCTCCCAGGTTGCTGGTACCAGGATGGACAGAGAAGGTGAGGGGTTGGGGGGAGAGGAGATAGGACACTCCTTGACTCCCACTGCTTTTGTCCTCACCTCTTTAGATAGGGGGTTCAACTTGTTTTCATCCAACCTCTGTTCTAGACTGTGAGCTCTTTGAGGGGAGGGGACCGTCCCTTCTTTACAGCTCCTCAGAACCTCCCCACAACTTGGCAATGCTGGAGGCACATTAAAGGTGTGGGTAGAAAGCTAGGTTTTTAACCATGCTGCTCTTCAGGCTTACCTTCTGATGCGAGTAAGGCTCCCCAACTCCTTGCAGGCAGGGGTAGAGGAGCTAGCTGACGGGGGCTATTCTGAACATCAGAGTATCTCCAGACCCTGAGAAATTCTATTCCCGGCACTAGGGACATGTCTGGGTGAGATTGCTATGCTTCTGGGGCAATCTTTCAGGGTGCGAGGTACAGGGGGCAGGTGCAGTCTGCATTTCACTAGGACAGATGGTGGATTCTACCAACTTCTGGTGAGTTGGAGGGTGCCAGGCAGGAATCTGAGGTAGGTTATTCAAAGGATGACCCTTTAAGCCCTAGAGAAGAGGCAGGGGCCATTGGTCACTATGTTAGGGTTGCTGGGCCAGCAAACCAGGGAGTTACTGCAGGCACACGGTCTTTCTGTGAGGCACTGATGTTATCTTTTATGAAATCCTTGTGAGATTTCATAAGATAAAGAGACATCATGCCATAACTGGTTTGGCTCAGAGGATAAAACTCAGGAGGCTGAAAGGTCTCAGGTTTGATTCCAGTCAAGGGCATGTACCTTGGTTGCAGGCACATCCCCAGTAAGAGGTGTGCAGGAGGCAGCTGATTGATGTTTCTCTCTCATGGATGTTTCTAACCCTCTATCCCTCTCCCTTCTTCTCTGTAAAAAATCAATAAAATATATTTAAAGAGAGAGAGAGAGAGAGAGAGAGAGAGAGAGAGAGAGAGAGAGAGAGAGAGAGAGACATCGTGCTGGTGGGAACTAATAGTCTGTACTGTTGTAATTGGTGGATAGATTGACCTTGCTTAAGAGAGCTCCCTAATAGGTCAATGTCACATTAGATGGAGGTATTTAATGGGGGACTATAGGGCTCTGTCCTCACCATTGACCCAATATGCTCACCATTGAAGAGAACTTTGACAATCTGATTATCAGATTCACCAAGGATACAATCTGGGAAGGCTCATGAATTCAGTCAGAATCTAAAAGGACTCAACAGACTGGAGCAACGGAAGGAATCTAAGAAAGTGAAACAGGATAGTGAAAAATGCCACATTCTGGAACTAACATTCTAAAATTGGAATAGAAATAGTGTAGAGGCAGTATATTTAGGAAGGACTTAGAGGTTTTCAATGGTCAGAGATTCAATCATGATGTGGCTGCCAAAAGTCTGTTATCCTATGTTATAGCAACAAAAATATGTGTAGAATAAGGAAATGATAAAAATATATGGACAACCAGATACCTATCTTTAAGTATTTAAAGGATTGTAGAGGATATAGGCCAAACTTAGCTGAATCTGCTGGAAGCTTATAAGAAGTAGGTAGGGTTGCCAAATTTGGCAAATAAAAATATAGAATGTGCAGTTAAATCAAATTTGAATTTCATGAATTTCATATCTGGAACATACTTATACTAAAAAAATTATTCACTGTTTATCTGAAATTCAAATTTAACCTGGTGTCATGCATTTTATATGTTCATGCTACCTGAGACTCACCCCAGATCTAATGAATAAAAATCTTAAATTGTTAATGTTCCCCAGGTGATTTTGATGTAGATCATGGACTAGTAATTGGGAGCCCTGTCAGAGCAGCAGTTCCCACATTTTATCAGGCCTCAGAGTCACCGGAGGGCTTGTTGAAACCAGCGGCTGGGCCCCACCCTGAGCTTCTGACTCAGTAGATCTGGGGTAGTGTCTGAGAATTTGAATTTCTAACAAGTTCTCAAATGCTGTCCTTTGACCACACTGAGAGGAACAAGGTCCTAGTCAATCTCTCACTATCAT